GAGAGAGAGAGAGAGAGAGAGAGAGAGAGGTTTTCTCACTTGTACAGAAATTCCCGACTACACCCTTGAATCAAATGCTTTTCTGTTTCATGTGTTGCCAGCACACTCTGCCTTCCACCCCACAAGACAGCCAACACTCCTCAACTATGTCTCCATGAATAGGAGGAGACACATAATCTTGAAACATACCTGGTTCCTCAACATGACAGGCATGGGAGAAAAACCAGGATATCATCTGGAAAGCCGCAAGGAATAGACCTGAATATGCATCTACAAATCTCATATCTCAATTTTGAAAAACCAGGATATCATCTGGGAAGCTGCAAGGAATAGACCTGCATATGCATCTAAGAATCTCAGATCTCAATTTAAGACCAAAATGAATGATATGCTTACCTAACTCCCTTCAATCGCTGTCAGAACATGTGAGCTGCTTCCCGACATCAGGAAACCTATCATTGAGCACAGGTGCAAGTCTAAGACCCTACAACCTTTTTCAAGAAACAGCGACCCAAGATGCTTTGTAAGATATTAGAAGGCACAAAATCACCATACACACCCACTGAGATAAAACTACCAGCTCGTATAATTCCACTAAGGCACTAACTAAAACTCCAAGGTCATATGTTTCCACAAAAAAATATGGAATATCCAACCCATACTCATTGTAACAATATGAACAAAAGATATTTGATATGAACAATAAGAAAGGCGATAAAAAGGTCATTGAAAATTATCATCCCTTCGATTATCCTCTTATGACAGAAAATCCAAGCTTCCAAATGTTCCCCTACAAGGTGAATCTGTGTACCGCCCCCAATCCAGAACCATTAACATACCAAACAAGTTGAGCCCTCACTCACATTGTCCTTTGCATCAATTATGCCCACCGATAGTTTTACAACAGAACCAAAAATCCACTAATATGTGTTCCATTCAGCAGACACTCCTCGTTTCAACATGAACAAGAAGAAAGATGATTGAAAAATCATACTCATTTGCCGGCCCCCAAGGTATATTCTTGTACAATACAAAAACCCATATTCTAAATGCCCTACAATGGTCAAATGTTGGGAGTACATAAAATATTAAATCCATATTCCAAAAACAACCAAAAGATCAATTCCTCATTCACAACTCACAAGTTCATCTCTCTACAACAAGAAACAAGAAACAATACAAAATCAACCTACTTCCCAAAACAATGAAGAGCCCATCAAGCTCCATTGGTAAAGTTATCCATAATTATTGATTGCTGTATTTGTTCCGCTCAAAAAAATAAACAAAGAATCTCCTTGATTGCATTAATTAAATATGTGATTAAAGATATTAAAAGTGATGTATGAGAGTTCTAATTTGCCAATACATACTTCCTGACTCAAGTGTGTGCAAATATAACTATCAATTATCAGCCTATCAATTGACACAAAACATATTCAATAATTTCCAATCAAAAAAAACTAAACATGCAAGTGCAATATAAATATAGTGAATTGTTTAGAAAACATCAATTTGAAGTTCCCAATATTCAGATCAACAGTACTGGCCATTTGGTGCACTCGGATTAGTATGACTATCACGATAAAGCCATTGACTTTCTTATGCAATCTCAGGGGTCTATCTCATTCCTCATTTTTACATAAGTTTATAGAGATGTAATGAAATACCAATTTGAGCAAACAGAAAGACAGTACCTTGTTAAATAAAATAACACCTGATGACAGAAGGATGTATATTAGCAGGTACAAATATGTTAGTAGCAGGGGTTTGTTGATCAACATGGCTGCACCTTTACTTGACAGGAGATAGAAAGGGGTCTCCAAATATCAATTCCGAACTACACAGATGTGAGCATCTAAAATATCGGGACTTGCTACGTTGGATGACAAGTGCGCTAATAAATAGAGCATGTTGTTTCAGCAGTCTTCTTTCAACGATAGACGAAACAAGCTCAATGCAAGCCCATATTACATGGAGTTTCTCCTTGATGAGTAAAAGGCAGACTGTTCAAGCTTATAAACCTGGACAAAATGAACAAAAGTAAGTACAACATCCAAGTGGGAAATAACTAAAATCAGAACATGTAATTGATCAAACTACAAACACAGTTCATCTGAAATATGGGAGAGCATTTCATTCCACAGTCGACAGGCAAGTGGAGTTAGAAGACCATATAACAACAAATAATAATAATAACAACAACAATAATAATAATAATACGAACAACAATTTAAAGCAACAGAAGTGTGCATGCATTTTATTCCACAAAAAAATGATTGTCACCTAAATACATATCATCATCAAATGATAAACACTCGAGCTCTCTTATTTCTTAAGCAAATACACACCTTCATAAGCCACCTTCATTTACTGACCTCGCAATCTAATTTTTTAAGTTGATTTGATCAAAGGAAGCCAACTTTAAAGTTGCTTGTACTGTCCATTACCCGCAAAAGTATATGACTATCTTCTCCAACAAAAAAAGAAAGAAAGAAAGAAAGAAAGAGAGAAGCTGAAATATATAACTCATTATTTTCTTTATTGTCTAATATTACACTAGGACAAATTAGTTTATCAGTTCCAGTGGTAGAAATAATTGTAAATACTAAGAGGAAACAAATACCTCGCTACGTTCAGTACCATGCAATACTGAATGATGTATAAGGATAGGCAACAAAAATAATTTCCTAACAAAAAAGAGAAACGGAAAAGATCAACAATAAGCCTTCATCATCAGGATGGTACCAACTAACACTCTCCTTTTATATCATCAATGAAATAGTTTATTTCAGTGTTTCAAAGCCCAAAACATTGGGGTAGATCGTTCACCTTACATATCCGTGTTGGATTGCTGGATCGGCCATCGGATCGGTCTGGTTCGGTTGATTCCCAACCGGATCAGGAAATGTCGGGTTTCAAAACACTAGTTTATTTCTAAAATAAGTGCACAAAGAACCATAAAAGTAAAATACATTGGCAAAGAGATATCAAGACCACATCTCAAGGGTCCTACTCTGAAAATGTCTCAACAAAAGGTGACTCTCAAATAGCCCATGATTAAAAAAGGATTTCACCTCCTTGTGAGCCTAACAATGCGCACAACGTTCACATCCTTAAGTGTCACGAATGTCGTATACCCCCACCCCCCAAATCTCTGTGTGTGTATGTGTTAGATAATTATCTGTTTTTCATTTAATAAAGGAAGTTTTATATGACAGCTATAAAGTATAGTGAGATGGGACAAATCACACCCAACTATTGTATGTCAAGAAGCAAGCAAAAATTGTAGCCCCCTGTTTCCTGTACAAAATTGGACCACTTGAGAGTCTTGATATCTCCCCAGCGTTCATAGCCAACCTCCACAATATATGAGACTTTTCAAGAGAATGTAGAATTGCCAACACTCTCATTAGATGGAGAATGTAGAATTCTGAACAATGCAACCAGACGACCAAACCCCTTCCAATGCTTTCTGAAATCCCTAGAAGTTATGAAGAAAGAAATGATGAATAGAGATAAATGACCTTTGAAGGATCTACAACAAAGATAATTGACCTTCCAATGACGGTGAAGTCAAGGGGCCCATCCTAATCTCTTAAAAACAACGGAATACTTCAGAAGGAAACCACCTAACTATATCACCACCATATGAATGGGAAACCTTACCAGAATTATCAAATTATCATTGGTGCAATCAATTCCAACTTACACTAACCCAGAAAAGACATAGGGGATTATGGTCAAATCACCCTTGGAGTGGATGCTAAGGAACGTATATTTGATACTTGATATTCCAAGTAGTTTGGGACATACAATCGACACTTTGCAAGCCCTAATGATATGTTTTATTTTATTCTCTTCAAAGATGCCACCTCTATTATATCAGGATCACAATCTGTCGCAGCCATTAACCATCTATGTTGCTTCCCCACCACTATCTTTTACTGTAGAATATATTGGATAATAGGTCCAGGTGCTTTTATTAAACAATTGGATATTCTGATCCCGTATCATGCCCCAGCCCTTTTAAGAGTTAAGACCATTCTACTTTATCTATCTACAAAGGAATCTTCAGTATAAATGAGAAAGGCATGATCCATTTTGCCTCTCTTTGAATCTCTTGAAGGTTTATCATGTTTTGATCTTTTCTGGGTATCTGATTTCAGTATGTACTCTCGTATCATGCCCCATCCCTTTTAAGAGTTAAAGACCATTCTAATTTATCTAAGAGATCTTCAGTATAAATGAGAAAGGCATGACCCATTTCAGTATGGCAGAGACTTAAACAATGGTAACTAGCCTCAATCTTCATAATGTATGTCACATTCAAGACATCTCAATAGGGAACCCAATCAATAAAGCCAGGTAAAAATTAATGTTTACCTTCAAAAGCCATGTGTTGCAATCACTCAAGCTTATTGGATTGCTTAAACTTGGCATCTTAGCACACCTGCCTCAGCCACCTTTAAATTTGCTTACAGTTTGCTTCATGCCTTATATCCTCCAAAAATGCAGGAAACCTGCCATTCATTTAATATATTCAGCATCTGCACCATATTTAGCAGTCACGTCATTCTTTCCCTTCCCATTATGCCAGAACAACAAAACCAAATAATTAAGCTAGCCAGAAATTGTCTGGAAGGGGGGAATAAAAGAAAAAGATAGCCTACTCTTTTTGCTCTAAAGTCTACCACCACCATGTACACAGCCATTCAAGCATCTTCACTGTGATTTCCAGTAAACAAAAACCCCCGGTCCAACCAAATAAACAAATAAATCAAATCAAGCACCACATGCTCTACTTATGAATTGAAAACTACCTATACATGCCCACTCATTTAAGCCATTAGCCCTCCAATTTGAACCACATGGCCAAAGATAACCAAAAGATTGAAGTATAAAATAATTTACTTCTGGTGTACTCCTAAAACCACAAGCATTTGCCACATGTTCAATACATGCATCATAATTTATTGTCATAAAAGTTCCCAATAACCCAAGAAAACAAAAAGAAAATGAAATTATGTAGTAAATGCACTAAAACACACTTGCATTTGCTACTGATTTAAGCTGCCTTGGCATCATAATGTAAACCCAAAAAACATGAACTGTCTGCATTAGCTATAATTTTCAAACATCCGAAAAACACGTCATTGAATCATCCAGTTCCCGTACCAAAACCAAAACACATTTCAAAATAGACCCTGTTTTAAATCAGATCCAGTAAAATGACAGAGTAAAGAGAGACGACTTCTTTTTAGAAAGACAAAAAATTAACTAAAGAAATAACCAAATCTTTCTTCTTCTCAGATCCTCCACAAAACAACCACTGAATAACTGATACCAATGCATCAATCACCGCACAAGCAAGCACAACTATACTCAGCTACAGGAACTAAAAATACCAAATTTCCAAGCTTATGCAATGAATTCTACTAAAGACAAATAATGAAACCCAGAAACAAGTTCATAGTAGTGATGATCATGCCCTAATTTCCAATTCGCTAAAGATGCATGAATCAGGGTTTTGAGAAGTACCTGAAGAACGATTTCTTAATCTTGGAAGAAAATTAGGGTTTCAGAACGACCTTCTTCTGCTGATTACTCTGCAAAAACCGATTAGAAAGAGAGAGAGAGAACTAGAGAGAGAGAGAGAGAGCATTTAAAGGGAGCCTCGGTACCTTGCTTCTACGTTGATTAATTCATGAAAAATATGTGATTTTATTATTTTTGTCATTAATCGTTATAGGCTTATAGCCTCACAGACACAGGTAACATTAAATATGTGCTTTTAATTTTTTTAATATTAATGGTAATTTGTCCTCATGTTCTTATTCGCACCCATGGTTTTGCTAATGCCACTGAAAAGAAGAGCAAGAAGATATGGTTCAGTGCACCATTACAGGGGTGTGTGTACAAAATACAATGGCGCAACTAAAACGCGTATGCTTTTATTTTTCGCTTGCCAAAAGAAGTACCTATTTGTTATGGGAAAAGTTTATATAGAGCTGAGGCTCTAAACAATCAAAGTAGACCCTACCTAAAATATTTCACTATAAATGGTTGTTTTGATGCCCAAATATCTTCAAATTGATCATCTCGACATCAAGATGCATGAACATAAAAAAAAAAAGATTTACAATTTTGAAAATAGTGTATTTTATAATGCATTCTTTACCGTCAATTTTTAAGATTTTTTAATTTTTCATGGATTTGTCGATCTACACTATTTTTTAAGTTTTAAGCTTTATAAATAAAGATGAAAATATATATTAAATCTATCACAAAAATTTTCAATATTAAAACTACATTTATCGATACTATTTGAAGGTAGCCTCTAATTTAATTGTTTAAAACCTAGGATCTATACAAACTATACCGGCAAAAAGTTTATATAGTGTCCAGACGCTAAACAATCAAATTAGAGCCTACCTCAAAATTTTAACTAGAAAAAATTGTTTTTGATGCCAAGCATCTTTAAATTGACTATCTCGACATCAAAATGCATGGACAAGAGAAAAATAGATTTCAAGTTTTGAAAATAGTGCATTTTGTAATGCATTTGTTACTTGTCAATTTTCAAGTTTTCATAGATCTGTTCAATATACACTATTTTTTAAGTTTAAAACTCTATAAATAAAAATAAAAATATATTTTAAGGCTATTACAAAAACTTCCAATATTTAATCCCAATTTGTCAACACTATCTTAAGGTAGGCTCTAATTTTATTGTTTAGAGCCTAGGCTCTATACAAACGGCACCCATTTGTTATAGCAGATCTTCCTTGTTTTATTTATATGTTAAACTTTTTCTTTTGGAGTGCTTTCAAAGATTTAATGTTCCGGTGGGAGGTAGTATTTATATGTTCCCTCAGATAAAACTCTATAGAGGATTAATTTTAGGATTCTAAATTTAAGAGATGTAACTTTTTCAATCTATAACCAACTTTAAAAAAAAAATTCTATGCGCTTCAAATTTTATTGTCTCGAGATTTGATTAGATGCCATTCGATTTTTTTAGTGGGGTGAGATCTAAAAGTTAGAAAACTTGAAATTCGAGTTTTTTCTTTTGAAAACAATAATATAGCGATTCTTAAGTGGTTTTCAAAATTTTAGATTGAAAGAAAAAATCTCAAAACAGGTCTTCTAACCAAGCGAGTAAATCCCCTTTGGAAATGACTCGTAATTGCTTTTTAAATATTTGCCTTGTTGAATTAACATTTTGAGTTTTAATTTTTCTGCCTTCATTTTCCACCTTATCTTTTTAATTTATCACTTGATAAATAGCATATATGGTATTGTTTACATTGATTTCCCTCTCTTTTTCTATGGCATCCCCCTCTCATGCATGGATCCAAGCCACTTTGGCGTCAACTTTGTGCATATACATTGTTAAATCCAAAAGAGGGGCCATATTGAGCGAGTATGGTGTCCTTCTCCCACGGGAGCAAATTGCTGCCTCGGGCAAAACCCGTTTTTTATTTGAAATTCTGAAGTTCACTTCAGAATCTAAGTTACATCCCCAAAGTTATGCCTATAGAGCGACGTTGGTGAATGGAAATTATCATCTCGATCCTTCTCTTGCAGCTCTCTGGCAGTCCTTCTCCTATACAATGTTATGATGATCAAACTAGCCATCGATCTGATAAAGAGTTCAGTCAAGTCAAAACTAATTTGAGTGTGAGTTGAACTGATTGGATCAGATTTTTAAAATAACATGAAGCGTAGTTTGAAATTATATAATATATTAGAAATAAAAACTGCCCCGTTTGTTTGGCCTAGTGTTGTGCCTTCATATTTTAGGCTTAGACCAAAGCGAAGCAAATCCTGGTGTTGCCGTTTCGGTCATATTCGAGTCTCTTCGGTCGTAATCGGGTCTGCGTCAGTCTGATTTGGCCGAAACTTCGGCCACCTTGGTCTAAGCAAATAAATATTTATATAAAAGTAATTTTTTTTAAAAAAAATATTTTTAAATTTTAATTATTTTTATATGCTTTATATATAAATATCTAATTTTTTTATATTTGATTTTTAAAATAAAAAATCTGAAGCCTCCCCCCAAAAAGAAGATTGCTCATTTTTTTCACCAAAACTAAAAAAGATTATAAAGCAAAGCTTGGTTTTTTATTTAGACCATATTGACTAAGGCACCGATTGGTGGTTCGACGGATTGAAGTGCCGAACTAATTCAATCTCGATAACCACGCTCTAAAGTGACATTGGTTTTTGAGATATTGGTCCAATAAGCCCAAGGATTTTGGGACCATCAAAGTTGGAAAGATGAGCTCACCAACCTGGAGATTTGTACCACGCTTGTTCTTATGGGATCCAAACCCTAATCCTCCAAGCACATTGGAACCATCGCCCTTGGTATTTTGCTCAGCTTGATGAAAATAACTCAGTAGCTTCACATTTCTTACAGAGGCTTGCTGACTCAACTCGAGGACACATGGTTACTTGAAACCTAAGATGGACGTAAAAAAAAAGGAGTTTCTCAACTAAAAACCAAAATAAATAGTTTAGAAAAAAGTTCAAAAAACATAATTCTTATTTTTTAGAAAGAAATTCGTGATCTCTCATACATTGAAATTATGGATCTAAAATCCATTTTTAAGGTGGATTTTGGAAAGGGGACTCACAAAAATAGGTGAGTTGACTTACTCACAAAACACTTTTCTAATATGTAATATATTTAAAATATTATCTTAGGAAGATATTAAAATGTGGCACGTGTGATAGGATATTAAAAAAAATGAGGTTTGCATAAGTTTGCAACCTTAAACAATCAAAGTAAGGCACACCTCCAAACTTTGACATAAGATGCAATTTTCGTGTTGAAAGTTTGTAGACTGGCTCGAGAATATATTTTCATCTCTAAATATAAATTTTTAACCCACAAAAATAGTTTAAATAAAATAAATCTATAAATGCATGAGAATCTTGAAAATTGACAGTCCAAATAATATGTTGCAATATACACTTTTTTTTTAATTAACATTTTTTTTCACATATCCACACACCGATGCTGAGATTAGATGATTTTTCAACGTCAAATAGCATTTTTCTAATAGATTTTTGTGGTGCACCTAAATTCTACAATTTAAGGGGTCAACTTTACATAAATTTTTCCTATTAAAAAATGTGTCAAAATTTTTACTTAATGTTACTCTTTCTAGAGAGAAAAATGCAAATAAAGCTCAACTTCTTTCTTCAAAAATTATAAGAAGAGGTCCGGCCCCTTCCCCTCTTTCTCAAAAAAAAAAAAAGGAGCTGATGGTGAACTCCACTTCAAACAACTTCGCACTATTAATGTGCATCTTTTTGTTTCCAACAGGGGGAAAGAACAAAGCGGACATTAAAGGCTTCCAACTGCCTCCAAATAAAACCAGGACAAAGATAACTTCAAATGTGCTTATGGAAGTGATTATTTTTAATTAAAAAAAAATATTTATAGTTTCTTGGACATCCCATCAAATCCATTTCAAATGGTTAAAAAGAATAAAAAATAAAAAATAAAAAGTTTATCGTTACACATCCCATCAACTTTTTGGACACTTGTAAAACACAAACAAATCCTTACTAGTCAAAACCCAAAAAGGGCAAAATACAATGGAAATGGCATATTGCCCATTTGGACCACCAATCTCTATTTAGTGTAACTTGCATTAGCTTTCATTTTCTCTACCAAATAACTTTTTAAAAAAATGCCTTCAAATTATTTTGCTTTCTTGTGGGTCAATTGGGGTCTAATACATTCTTTTGAGCAACACAGGTATCAATGCCGATTTATTAGTTTATATTACTTAATTTTGTTTTTCTTGTTAATTTAATGGGGAAGACAAACCCCTACCCGTGTTTTTATGTAGATTAGGAAGTTAGCTCGTTTGAAAGTGTCAATGGATGGTGCCAGCAAAATTGGGAAACCACGATATGGGAACTAGATATGAGGGTGCTACCACCACGACCCAACCCCTATCTTTATATCACTTAAACTTTGATGTTAACTTTCTTTTTATCTCGTGTTAGTATACACACCTATGCATATATGGAATTGTTTTCGTTCCAGTAAAACTAAAAAATGAAGGCTTATCACGGTAAGATCATGATATTCTAAAATCATAACATGTCGAAAGTATGTGCCTTCAAGCATATCATTTCAAAGTTGAATTATGTTTATTCCATGTAATTGGGTTCCATAATACAGGGCTAGTTAGGGATAGGTATATAGTATATAAAATTAAAAAACTTCAAATTTTGTATATTGAATTAAATGGTGGTTCAAAATCGGTGCCAAGGTAACAGATCCAAGATTAAGAATGGTTTAACAATCTCAACATGGTTGAATGTAAAACCATCATTGATCATCAAGAAAGAAGAGCACTTTGATCTTTTTGTATCACCATCAAGAAAGGGAGAGAAAAAAGGACTTACCAACCCTAACAACACGGCTAATCCAAATAGGGTTGTACCTCTAGATCTATCTACTACACTAACATACGAGGGGATTTTCAATTTCATGAATCAAAATATCGGAGTGAATATCAAATGGTCGTCGTGAATGATAAAATGTCAACCAAAGATAGAGAGCTTATTTTCAAAAATTATTAAATGACGAACATAATGGGAACATAGCAGTAGAATGAACTTTTATTATAAATGAGGACGGAGGTCATAAATACATTTGCAGGATTAGGACATCGGAACTGAAAGAAACTTTGAAAAAATGAAGACATGAAAAGCTTTAAGACCAGATGGTATCTCGATAGAGAGCATAGGAGAGATTGCCATTGACGAGCTGACCATGCTATTCAACAAGGTGTTGACAACAAAAAAAATGGCAGACGAGTGGAAGAGAAGTATTGTGATATCTATTTACAAGAACAAATGAGACATACAGAACTGTGCGAACTATTGAGGGATCAAACTTATGAATCGTACTATGAAGCTCTATGAGAGAGTGATTGAACAACAACTAAGGCATGAAACAAGTGTATCAAAAAATTAAAGTTAAAATTGTATTAGGCATGACACTGTGATAAAGCTACCAGAGTGATCCATCATCAAACAAGGAATAACAATCAGATGCATTTTGCATAAAGTTAAGCCCTACAACCACATGGATATAAGTTGATTCTGCAACATTTGTGCAATATGTCAAGCTTATTGCTCCACATCAGGTTTTCTTTCCGTGATGGTGATCTTCGATTATTGTGAGGAAAAGATTCAGTTTATTTCATACCTCTAAGAGTCAAACTAGCAAAGCTTAAGTTCATCCTGTGAGAATCAAGGCCCCACTTTCTGTATGAGAGCATGGTCTTGGTTTGATGGCTCGAAAACATGGAAGGTTGCAGAAGTTGTCGAGAAGCTAGCAAACTCTTTTGGTTTCAAGCCTAAGGCCATGAATTTCGAACCAAAATGCATGACAGCATCTCCATGGCTACCCGAAGGCATGACCTCTTATCAATGAGTTCCAACTGAGAATGCCACGGCTCAACAAATACTCAACAGATATTGGAAGAGAATCAGGAATCCTCCAATGAAGCAAACCCGCAATAGGATGTAACAAAAGAATCCCCCACCGCACTGAATTATTACATGCACCTAGCTTAACATTTAACTGATGAACTCACATACCCAAGACTGAATTCCCTTAGTAAAACCCCAAGGAAGCATTGATACCAACAGGGAGATCAAAACAATTTGGCATGACACATCTCCAACAGTCCATTAAATTTTGAACTTTGTATGTAGTTATATAGTACACCTCAAACAATTTAATTACAATTTTAACAGCTAAAGATGATTGTGATTTTATTGTATAAAAGACTGGTAGCGGGATGGGATGAGCTTTAGCTAATCGGAGCAGACGAGTTTTATTACGACATAAAATTGTTTTGCGCTTGGGTAAAATGAAGCAAGATTTTGAAAAAATGAAAGATATGGATTTGGAATTGTTGATCTGATAAGATCTAGTCACTCATGGGCCCTTATGTTCCCGCTCGAAATTGAGAATCAACCCTTTTCTATCTAATTTACATGATTCTCCATGTATATTATGTTTGTTTGATAAATAATTAAAGAGACAAACATATTATAGACAGAAAGATGGATGTACGCAACGTCTTTTTTCCTTATAATTCTTTTATTTCTTCTGACTGGACTGCATGATCCAGTTCCAGTTCAATAGACGACCTATGGCTTACCCAAGAAAAAGTATACAGTGAGACCTGGAACAAGGTGGTCACAATTAATTTTCAATAATTGGATATGAAATTGGGTGGCCGCATTTATTCTATTGATCAAGCTCAAAGTTCAAAATGAATTTTCTCGTGCACACCCAATCTATTAGATTTCGAATTAGATGGTGACAAGTAATTGTGACCTCCTTATAGTAAGGGTAAATAGTTTCATTGTATGCAATCCCTTTTTTTAAAAAGAAAATTGTTTCATGTGGGCTCGACCACATTTCTAAAATATGCAATCCCAAGTATAAAGCTTCAGTTTTAAAGATGGATGTAAATAGATGGTCATTTAAAAACAATTGAAACTATTAGTCCAAAAGTTTACTTCATAAAATAATTATTTTTATTTTTTAAAATTTATTTATTTTATATTCATGACCTTCATATAATAAATTATATGTTCTTAAAAATTGGATCTGAAAATCCATCTCAAAAATAGATTTTTAAGAGTCGACTAATTTCTACATAGATTCACTAGAAACATAGAGACTCACTAGAAAACGTGTCTTAAAAATATACATAAGTTATGTTTTGTACGAAGGAGTAAATGGATAGTAAACTCCTGCAAGAACGTAAGATCTTTCACGTCTTAAAACAGTGAGCAAAAGGAGAGGGGGGGGGAGGGAGATCACGGGCGGCAGTTCAAATAATAAACGCACAGGGGATAAGACACAAGCCATGGAGGTAGCCGGGGTTTAAGGTTGCGAGGAAAATGCAGAGAGTGTAGAGAGAGAGGGAGAGAGCGAGTGTGTGTGTTTTTTAGACAGAGAAACAGAGAATGTCGAAGCTGCGATGGGCGATGGACAGTGGGTTTTGGGATCTGAACCTCTCAACCGCCACCACCCTTGACGGAGTGGTGCGAGCTGTGCCGGACGAGCCCTGCTTCCCTCTGGGCGCTGCTCGAGCGAGCCGAGCCCTGCGAGTCCAGCAACTTTCTATCATGTCCCCCGGCTTTCCACTAGGGCTCATACCTTCTTACACTGCCGGCCCTTCTACTCCTAAGGAGCTTGGTGCCCTAGCTTTGCAGTCCCTTCTCTTCAGCCCATCAGGCTCCAACTGGTAATGCTAAACTCTCTCTCTCTCTCTCTCGCGCTCGTTCTACTTTTCTGACATATCTATCTATAGAACGCATTCCATTTCTTTCTTCGCAAGCCATCTGACTCGAACCTGTAACTCTTCTCTTGCCTTTTCTCTCATTCTCTCTGTACAATGCATGCCAGTCTCTCCTAAAGTTATCCAAGTCAACTCGTAAAATCTCTCTCTATATATATATGTAAAATGCATTTGAATCCATCCTTCTATAGCTATTTTAAATGAACAGGAGTGGCCCTTCTCTCTCTCACTTAAATGTTTCAGTGTTATCTGATAATATTCTACATATTCCTCAATGATGCAAATTCTGAAAGGAAGTATCCATAGCAAATGCATCACAAACAAAAATGAAAATGCACATGTACACTCACATGTATGAATAATTATTTGGAACTTCATCAGTCATGCATCATGATGTCAGAATCTGAAAATAATTTTGAGATTGCCATTTTCTGATAGCATAAAATTCAACTCAGTGACTGCTGATCTATTGTGTTTTCCATTAAATATGAACAATTAGGTGTCATTGGCCCATCGATATTGATGGTTGTACGGTTTCTCTTCTTTTGTTAAGGGAGCTAGGTCCTTGAAACTTTCAAATTATTGCAATGGATATGCCTAGAATCACAGCTATGCTGTTTGCTTTGTTGCCAAATTTCCTGAATTCGTCATCCAAGTGACCACATTAAATAACGTAGAACAGAACTAATTAGATGCTTAAATCCATAGATATCTGATCTTACCATGATTTATACATATCCCTTTTTATGTCTCGAAGATGGTTGTATTAAATTTTTGTCTGCAAGTCTTAATTTGAAGGTTGGTACTTGTTTTAGTCATTGTTTACTTGAAAACTATTTACGTGCACATTCTCATTTCTTCTCTAAACCACCTATTATGGATTAAATATGAAATTTCTCCAAGCTAGTTCCGCATTCCATGTATATTCTTATATTTGTTAATGGGCACGTTATGCAGGTGGTGTACTTTAGTAGGGCAATTTCGTCCAAAGAAACTAATCACTGACATTAAGGCGGAAGTAGCAAGTGGTGAAGAGCTCGAATATCCTGGGATTAGGAACATTGTGAAGCATTTTTGGGACAAAGCGCTATACTCCCTTGGTTTATGTTCACAAATCTCTCTTACACCGTCTTCATCTCTCGTCTTTAGCACTGAAGGACATGGTTACAAGAAGGGACGCCGCTCAAAAGCAATGTTCTTTAAGAAGGCAAGTTTCGGTTATATGTTATCCATGGTCATAGTACTTGCATATGAGCTGTTTAAGAAATTTCTATTGGTATTTGGTCTATTGTGGTTTGAGTACACACAATATTGTAATTTGTAAATATTTTGCACATCTCACATGGATTGCTTGGCACTTTTTTAGACTATCTTAACACTGCATTTTTCTATGGGACCCTCAGACATTAGTGTCACACATCATCATTGTTTTTAGTCTGAGGACTACGGTTTCTTCTTGGTTGGTTGATCTTATAATATTTTTTTAGTGACCAATCGTTGGTACCTTTATGCTTGAATGCAGCTTTCTCATCATGATGTAACACTAGAAGCTGCTTGGCCAGAATTGTTCATCGACAAGGATGGAACTTATTGGGATGTGCCGTTGTCAATGTCATTGGATTTGTCGTCTCTAGTTTCTGAATCTGGACTAAGGTATCGGTTTGGTATACATAAGAACCATGGAATTCCTCACCCTCATACATCTACCACTAATGATGTACCCCCATCACTTATGCCTGGGGTTTGCGCGAAAGCAGCCTTTTCTTATGAGAAGAGCAAGGACATTTGGAGACAAAAGGAGAAATTGAAGGATTTAATTGTAAAAACAGACAATGGGCATGTTTTGTGGACTTCATATGATGTGCATCTAAGAGAACCTCATGCTGCAATATCAGGAACTATTGGTAAGTTGCTGCTTTGGAATAGTCCTAGTCGTTTGTGAAGATTATTTGCATCCACTGATGGAATTGCTAGAATATACAGATCAATTAATCTATTTGTTTGTAGAATCTTTTGTTTCCCTTTTTTATTCATATTTTCCTGGTAATTTTATATATACTCATATTGTATAAGGTTGGTTTATTAGACTGTTATTATTAAAGCTTTTCCTTGTTTGTTAATGATTGCTGCAGTTCGTTAATGATTGCTGCAGATTTGTTGTCATATTACTATTGCTAATCTAATTGCCTAGGCATGTTGGAATTGGGCAATAGTGTATCAATCTTGGTAGTTGACGAAACAAAACAGTGTTCCTGTTATGACTAAAGGTTGATTATTTGAAGCAAGGTATAACTTTGAGTTTGAAAGCATTAACTTCATGGATTTGGATATTTGGATGTCAGAAACCAAGTCAACAAAAAAAAACAAGCATGCTCCTATTTTGTAACAGTAACAAAATTTCTTAATAGTTCTTTGACAGAGGTACATTTGGATGTGTGAGATGGGAAGTTGCAATTTTGTCTCACCATTGGTATGGGATACTATGTGATATTTTTTGATGATGGTTGTTTTACATAGCCATAATTAATGTAACCATAATTAATGAAACATATGTCAATGGCATTTTGTGTTTCCACCGCTAGTTTCAGACCTTGGTTGAGAGAGTTTTGTGAGCCTGTGAAGTATGGACTCGTGTGTGTGCTTTTTTTATAATTGAGGAAACGATGATGCCAAGTGCAAGCATTGTCATAACCATTGAGGCTGTTCTGTCTTCTCTTCCGCACCAAAGCTGCATGGCCATTTGTTCTGTTCAAAAGCTTTTCATGCAACTTGTTCATATCCTCATTGTCACCCCCTTTTCAGGTTGCTCTTTTGAAGAGATGCTTTATGAAGCATTGTAGGTCATTCTATTTTTGGGTCTCATTGCTTTATTTATTATATCGACATGCCACAAAGACATGTTTGATGCTTGGGATAGTTCCTTCTAATTAATTGGCTGCAAGGACGTACATAAGATGGGTGCTATTATTTTGGTCTTCTCAATGCGTTTTCCTTTAGTATGATACAGTTATATGCCGAGTATTATCGTTAAGATGCTTGCACCACCTGTAATCACAAAGGCGACTCTTGTCTATATCTTCCCATATCATTCTTTTTGATTTATTTCTATATTGACTTATATGCATACCTATATGCACATACATACATAATACTTGTGTGTGCGTGTGTGTAAAATCCTCCAGAGTTTGTCCTATTAAAGTTTTCATTTGGGCATTGTTTCTTTTTTAATAGAAGTTGGTAAGATGAGGAATCAAAATTCATCGTAGTTGCCTCCTCCATCTCGCAATGGTTCTTAGCCATGAATAAAGAGTTGCTTTTTATTGCAATCTCGCCCACGAATAAACAGTTGCCTTTTATTGTAATCTCTTTGAGATTGTGTAGCTCCACTTGTCGATAAGAATGTTATAGTGTTTTCTGTGAATTATGATTATGAGAATGGCTGATTGAGCTGTGGATCACTGCATATCCCATGGCCAAAGGGTATGTGCGTTCACCTGTAGATAATAATGGTAGATAGATACTATCATGGAATCGATGATGGTGAAACCTTTAGTTTAGTCATTAAAGTTAGCATTATCTGCATACTTTATTGTCTGTCCTAATGGCCTATCTTTTGTATGAATATTCATAATGCCTTCTGTGAATCAAATTCTGAAGAATGAAAAATTATCTGACGTGAGGCATCCAACTGAGGGCCTCAGAGTGCTGAACCGTAGGTTTCAAACCTTATTTGATTGGTGTTAATTTTTTTTTTGTTCTAAGTTTGACCAAGGGAAATTAAATTATTATCTTACTTCTTACATCAGTATCTAGCGTTTTGTTTGGAAGATTGATATATCCTCCTTTTTTTTCCTACTCTATGGATCTACCATATTGGGAGCAAAAGATTCGATTTCCAATTACTCTTGCTTGAGGTTGCTAAAAGAAGTTAGGACCATTCTAATTTTTGCACTTTTCTCTGATCTGGGCGTGGAGACTTTTTTTTTTTTTTTGATAAACGGTAACAGTTGTATTACTGGACTTGTCATTATCTTTGTTGTGTCATACTGTCATTATACGTTGTTGAGGTGTATGTGATTTTTTATTTATTTTTAATTGGGAAATGATATTTTGTTCCATCCGGCACACCAATCTTGGTCCTCCGCCCACCTCAAAAACAACTTTTGAGGAGTGGAAGGGACCTAAAAGTTTCCAAAACGTTCTCTCATCCCAAAAAATCCGCGAAAATAGCTTCATCTGAATAAAAGAGAGAAGGGTTTGGTGCCCTAAAGATGTCCAAAATACACCGTGACCAAAAATATTAATCTGGGCTCTCCATTTCAATGGGCGACATATCAAGGAGATATTGAGGTTTCTAGAGCTCCAAACTAAAACCAAATTAGAGGAGATTGATTCTTAGGAAATTTGGAAATTATATGCATGCTCCTCATATAGTGCTTTACTGACCACGATATCCATCGCCACTATCAAGCTTTGACAGTATGATATATGTATTGAGTGTGTATGTACCTACATACATGCATACATACATTAACAGTATGATATATGTATGTGTGTGTGTCTGTTCCTACATACATACATACATGCATACATATACATATACAGATACATATGCATATACACTAATACACACACACACACATTATATATATACACATATACATACATACAATAAGACCATTTACTTTTAGTATAACAAAGTCCAAAAAGTAAAATTTCTCAAATGTTTGCGTCACTTTAACTTGTCAGATTTCACATGTAATGAATACGAGTGATTGTTGATCTCCTTGTGCCAAAAGTGAATGTTTATGTGTGTGTATGATCTTACAGTCTATAATCCCACATACATATATATGTGTGTGTGTGTTTATGTGCCTGCACACACACACATGCGCGTGCGTGCATGTGTGGGCGCACGTGCATGCCTTGGGAAAGCTGCTTTTGTGGGGTCTTGGGAAAGCTATAGTAGAGAATTTATATATATCTAGGTTTTAGAAAATTTTGACATACCGCCCATCTCTACATATTTTGGTGTTGTTTTGCATTGTGTTGCGTTGTTTTGCATTGTGTTGAGAGAGATCATAATTTTGGGCATGTTTGAAACCTAGATTCTCTTTTTTGTGCCCAACTCATCAGCACATATTCAAATAGTTTTGAATGTTCCCTGTTGGCCCTTCTTGCTTCCCTTAACATTCAGAGAGCTTGCAATGGCCTATGCACTTCAACCATCTCTTGGAGGAATTAATTACTGGTGATACGTTGACAAGTCCTAAACTGGATTCATCAGTTCTATGGTAGCTGGCAGCTCATTAGTTGATTCTTCATGGTTACTGAATGGAGTGGATTCCGTGGTCTCATGTATGCCAGAAATGAGAAAATGGTGTAGAACTGCTGTTAAATTACTGCCTTGGTCACGCTCTGGAAAATTTTATCACTCATAAAATAAAGAAAAAGATTTGGAATATCTCAAATAAGGTGATCTTTCAATTATTGTGCACTCTAATAAATTGAAAAATATGTTACATGGAAAGGACACACGTATGTATATAATGTGTCTGACAATGCTCCAACCAATAATTTGAGTGTTGAACATGACAACTTTGTAGAATGATGAGGCTTCAGCATGTGTATCTATTGGCAGTTATCTACCTATTTGGAAAAACTAAATACTAGTTCAATAAAAGTAAAATTAACAAAAAGACAAATGTCTCCAATATATGGCCAGTAGTCCTACTTCTAGACATGCACTTTCGAAATTCTGTAGACGCCTGATTGACAATGGGCGTGTGTCTGGAATTCTAGAAGTGTCTATGGCCAACATGCAGAATTTATGCCTCTGACATGACAAAATGTGGAACATTGATTGGGTGTGTTTTTCATTATCAAGAGATCAACACAGCCCAACATGGCATTACGCCGAAGGCCAGAGAGACGTCAGCCTAAACATGGCACGAAGCCTGGTAATTGACACATAAGGCCGCATATTGTTCCTCAAAAGTAGCACAAAGCTTCAAGGGTGAACATATCTACTTCCCCCAACATGCCACAGAGCTCTTGGGGGTGAACATCACAGCTCTTCCACAGCCTAAGTGTTGCACATGACTAGTTTTTGCAGCGAAGGCTGAACTTTCAGATGGATGGCGGCCCCCATACACAAGCAGCCAGGCTGCTGTTCTATCCATAGTCATGTTACATTAGTTCCAGATGGAGACAAACTTGGGGATATTCAAATAAGTACTGGACAAGCGTCCTTGGCAAAATTCATCGAATTTGGACTCCTTGGTGTTATATTTGCTATCATAAGCTGGATTGCAGGTGGTTTGAAGTTGTCCCTCAAGGACCAACCAAACAGTCTAAGAATGGGATGAGTCTTGGAGGGTCTTCAAGACATAACGAGGACCTTTCCACCAATTTTGAAGTTCTAACACACGGGCGGCATACTTGCCTTGTAGAATGGGAAAGACGATTAGTGGTCTGAACTCTGAACAGACCCTTGATTTAGCGCTGTATAAAGGGGATCACGATGGATGTTCTCCAAGAGCAATTAAATTGCTAGGTCTTTTATGCAGATGATTTCAACCCTACCCTCCAAATTTTAGGTCATTTGACCCTCATTTGATTTACTTTGACTTAATTTTCAAAGGCCCAAAGATGGTTCACATCATTGTTGATTTAGAAGCTCCCTATTTGCAGCACAGCCGGCCAGCACCAGAGGACTTGTCAACAGAGTTCCATTTCAATAGTTGGATCAAATGTTAAAGTTTCCATAAATTTGAACAATTTTTTTTTATGAAACTTAATCTACAAAGATCGTTTGATATGAGGCATGGTTTTTTATGAAATCAATGCCATTTGATTCATTTTCGGATGGCCAATCAAGTATGGGACATGATAAGGCCTAGAAACGTGCTGAAGAGTGATTTGATGAAGAACACAACTGCTTTTTAGGCATGCTCACCCTTTGTGGTGAACCTTCCAAGTACGAATTTCTAACCTCAAGTCATGGGATTTTGTGTTCAATAAAGCATGAAATCTCAAAACATGTTCATCTGATGTTCTTGGAAGATAGAAGAATCCAGAACCATGATATTGAAGAGAGAAACCTACCAAAATTTGACGATTTTCCTTGTTCATCAAGCTTTAAGCCTCTATATAAAGGGTGCTTTGAATATGACATGGATCCTTTTGGAGAGAGGAAGTCTGTTTGAATCTCCAGCTATAACCTTGCTGATTCAGAGGTCTGACTTCATGAAAGCTTCCTAGATATAGACATTCATATTTCCAGAGAGATTGAGATGATTGAATCAAGAGCTTCAAGGCAAAGGCTAAGGCACAAGGTTTCAAAAAACGCTAGGCGGCCCTAAGGCAGCTGGCTTGGGGCCCAGGGCCCTGGCGGGCGCCTAGACAAATTTTATAGATATATAATATATACATATATTTGTGTCAAATTTGTAATTTATTGCATTTGAAAATATTGTAACATGCTTTATTCAAATATGACATATCGCATGTTGAGAATAAACTTTTCAAAATTTCAAAATTCAAACCACATAAAATTTAAAAAGTCTAATAGGATATTTATTAGTAATAGTCTCCAACTCTCCATATTATAAGTAGAAAAGTTTAGGAAGCTTCTTCAAACCACAAAACTACTTTTGATTCTCAGAAATAAGCATATTCCATAGTAAGTAGAGAAGTTTAGAAAGCTTCTTCAAACCACAAAAAATACTTTTGATTCTTAGGTATAAGTAAGAGGGTTTATGGAATTATTCTTTTAACTTTGGGGGTTGAAAATAACCCTCGTAACCTATTTAAACCTTTTTGGCGGTCAATATTACCCCCTTTGCCACCTTGGGTATCTTTAAAAAAAAAAAAGACACATTCCTGGGCGCCTGACCAGGTACATCCGCCCAGAATGGGCATCCTAGGCCTAGGCGTGCGGTGCATAGGGTCTTGGGCGCCTAGGCGCTGGGCGGACCCTTTTTTGAAACATTGCTAAGGCATTCTACAGTGAGTAACAGTTTGATCCCCTTGCTTCATACACAATGTATACTGAATCTGTATTGGTTCCAGGGTCTGGTATCTGTATTTTTCCTTTCTTTAGGTCTCCTAAGCCTTTGTGATTACATGTCAAAGGTGTTTTGTTCTTTGTATAAAGTTGGATGTAATTGAAATGAGTATGCTTATCAATGCTCATAATCCTTCTCGAACCCCATTTAAATAAAAAAGCTTTAATTTTTTGTATACAATCTTGGCTGAGTTTGTTCTGTAGTGGGCTTCTTTGCTTTGTTTGATTGGAGTCATATTTTCTCTCTAGTTCTCTTTAATACTATTTTAGGTGAAACATGTGTAAAGTGGCAGGGTCATTGTTCCCTAAGACAATAAACCTTACAGCTCCCAAAGAGGTAGGAGTGATGTCATCATCAAGAGGATCATCTTATTCTGATCCGGAGTTCATCCTCAACATATTGGGATGTATAAAGGAGCTCTGAGGTTGCGAATGACACTTTGTCCTCCCCCAACCCTTGCCTCTGTTAAAGGTTTGCCTCCTACCACTGTTGGTGATGGCATTGGTCAAAGCTTTATTTCTTGATGATTTCACTGTGATAATGACTGTAGGGAATCCATGCCATCTTGTTTTCTTGGATTTGTGGGATTGCTTTTCCACAGCTTGTAAAGGTGTAATCTTACCTTCTCCATTTCTTAGTTCTTTATTAGGTGATAAGATGAGAGAGAGTAGACTTAGGTGGGCTGGGCCATGTATAGCGTCGACCCAGTACAACACCGGTTAGGAGGTGCGAGTTAGTTCAAGTGGAAGGATTGAAAAGGGCAAGGGGAAGGCCTAAAAGGGTGTGGTTGGAAGTTGTTCGAAAAGATATGGGGACTTATGGCCTCATAGTGGGTATGGCCTTAAATAGAGTATAATGGCAGACCAAGATTCATGTAGCCGACTCCAATTAATTGGAAAAAGGCTATGATGATGATCATTGTCCATGTTGCGCATAATAGCATGCGCTTGACAACTTTACATATGCCATTGAGGTGGATCGTCGTCTTTTGGGAAGGAGAACCGATTTCTTTGGCCACACCGTGTTACATTTTATGAAATTCTTCATTTTTTTTTTTAACACACCTTGGGGTTTGACAAGCTAGCTGAATTAGTATGTCTGAGCTTGATTTCCATTGGATAAATTTGCATATGCTTGCCTACGTGAGGTATGTAATGTTTGACGTTACTTATTTGACATCTTGGCATTGGGTCAGTGATTTGACAATGAGTTAATGCCACCCCAATGTCATATTACGAAGTTGATGACAACCTCCCACATGAAAACCACTCTCTTGACAAAATTCTAGAAAGAGGTACTGCAGTGTCTGTAAATGACAGTAGTACATAAGATGTGGGAGTTTGGCATGGAGCCGACTTTCTTAAGGACACCTGTCCTTATCCAGGAGGTTAGGCGCATAACCCTCTACCTTAAAGGACACTTGTCTTGTTTAAAAGGTATTGGACACATGCTGTATGGTTTTAATGACTGATGTTCAATGTGTCAGAGGATTTTATTTGTCCAATATCACGAAATCTGTTCCCACCATGAGCAATAATCTCCACCAAGACACATGCCTGTGGGTCTATATAAATGAACTCCACAGAAATCAAAGGGGGGGTGAAGGTAGTAGCAAAAAGAGAGAATAAGACAAAGTAGGAACAGAGTGGACCGAGAGAAAGTGAAAGAGACTAAAGCAGCACATCGTAGCCAGGAAGGAAAGGAAGTACAACAAGTGTCAGGAAGTTTTAGAGGTATATGGGTAAAATACCCATGACGTATTATCTTCTTCAGCTTTATTTCTCTTCCTTTTGTCCTGTATTGTCTGTCTTCTCCATCCTGCCAATCTAATCAATGATCAACTTCAGCCCAGTCAGAGAAAGTCTGTATGTTACTGTCTCTTAAAAAATTGATAAGTTGTTTTCTCAAACATTTAAGGAAATACTAAGTCTTCTACTATACGCACCTTGCTATAGTTCTTCAATCTTCACATGGGGAACAATGGTGAGACTCGCTTCTTGGTCATAGCTGTAATTTGCTACTGGTTTTTCCTTAGCTTGTTTGTTCTATAAACTCGCAACATGCTATATACAGATTCTGTGGCTCGTGACTATTTGTCACCTGATTATTTCTTGACTAATCGATGCATTTGGCATGCTAAAACGATATGCATGTCTCGTCCATGCAAGAAGCCTAATGCTTATGGTCCGTGCAAGAAGCCTAATGTCTTCTTAGGCTAATCTTGCAGATATTTTGTGGTGTCTTTGCATTGGGATATTCCCCCAAAATACCTTCTAATGTAATATGATTTATTACTTTATGTATGTGCACATAGACGTGATTGATTGTGCATGTAATCAAGTGCATGACAGAAAATAAATAAGGTCTAGACAAATAGTTCTTCAAAGAAGGGGTAAGTCTGGAACCTGCAAAAACAAGGCAACGCATGTGGGGGTAACTCAGTGGCTATAGGGGTTGTTTATTTCGTAATAATAGAGGTTTCAAGGATATTGGGCTTTGAGTCAGTTGTGCTGATGAGAAGCTTCTAAGAAATTTCAGTAGCAGTCTTCACCATCTTTATAAAAGGCAATGATAATTGATATCCCTAAGGCAAGGGCCATTTGTCAGGTATCCTGATTTTGATGAGGCATTGACCCAGAGGATTTTCACCTCAAGATAAAAGGATGGGGTCTTATATTATTGAGGCATATATTCATGGGGATCTTAGATTATTGTGCTGCCTTTGTAGTAGGTGGTGAGTAGTGGCCTCTAGATCACGTCTGCTCTCTCTCTCTCTCTATCTCTTTTTCACACACACATTATGCTTGCATGTATATATTGATTTCTAGTATTCTATGAAAGTATTATTGTTCAATTGATTTGGTTTTTGAAACTTTTGTTCAATTGATTTATTGATTGCTATAAGAAATCTGCAAGGCTTTCTTCTACTGCTTTTGCACAGTCTCACTTCTCTCTTGTTTCTTTCATTTTTCTTGATGAAGGTGGTAAATGTTGTGCCTGGTTTAGTGGGGGTGAAGGCCCAAAAGAGGGATCAGGCGATGGTGGGATTGCTAAGCTTCCATTGAAGAATAGATCCCCATTTAGTGCTGACTTATTTGGATCGGTTTGCTTTACGATTCAACATGGAAAATTCAGGAAGGCATTTAATGACTTGACCAGATTAGACGCCCGTCTTGACATCCCCTCGGCATTGGCAGTTATTACGGGACCTGAGCGGCTGGCTTCTTCAAAGTTCAATGTGATCTTGCAGCAGCAGGTATTGTCAGATATGTCTTGCTTTTAAGTGTTTGTGCACGTATGTTGCATATGCTGCATACCTATACTTCTCTCCGTCTCTTTCACTGGCATATCTTTATGTTTAGTTGCTCTTGTTTGGAAAATTATGGCAGTGATCATTTTTGTTCGATGTGTTTTCCATTGGCAAGTGTGTGTGCATAGCTGGGTGTGTATTTGGAAGAGAGAGAGATGAAAGAGAGAGAGAGAGAAAGAGAGTACGATTTTGAGAGATGACAGAAAAAGTAAGGTAGTGGTTTAGCCGGCAAAAATGAATGTGCATGTGTGTGTGTGTGTGTGAGAGAGAGAGAGAGAGAGAGAGAGATAGAGGATGATTTTGATTGATGACAAAAAAAGTAAGGTAATGGTTTCGTTGGCTAAAGTGAATTTTATCAAGACATGACTTTCAACATTTTATGGATCTCAGATATAAAACTTGAAGGTTTTGTTATGCATACTTGAATATTCTTGATATTGCTCTTAGCTGAAGCTTATGCTTTACATTTGTTTGTTCTTGTTTGTTTAATTTTCTTGAATTATGATGACGTGCAATACACAGGTGGCAGGGCCAATAGTAGCAAGGGTGGATTCAAGGCTTTCGTTGAGTTCTCCTTCTGGCAGGCTTCCTCCACATGTGGAGGATGTTGTCTACAGCTTGAGCTATTCCTTTAGACTCATGCACTCAGGGAAGGTTGTATGTTGGTATTCGCCCAAGAGGAAAGAGGGAATGGTAGAATTGCGTGTTTTCGAGTTCTGACTTTTTTTTTTCGCTGCAAGTTTCTTTCTCTGAAAGTAAGAGTTTTATACCAGATCAGGCTTTTAGAAAAACAAAAAATCTTAGGGGGGATCTTTTTTGTGATGTACCATTTTGCAGTTCATTACCCATTCAGGGAAAAAAGAAATTGTTTTGTAGGCGGTATCATGTATGTGTGTGAGAGGGAGAGAGATGGGCAGACATTTCCATATCCGGGAATCATTGAAACTATCACACCCCATGTCTGTGGCGTATGCTTTGCCATGGGATCTCTGTTCCATTCTCCAAATGGTGGAGATCATTGATTGATGGTTACTGGTGGTAAACTGTTGATGTTTTTGTAGTGTATCATGCAAAGTACCACATGGTATCCTTTTCCTTTATGAAACCTGAGACAACCGTTCGAAATTTTTTGAAGCTGTGGTTTGTGTACAAAGGGTGCCAAGAAAATGGTCTTTGAGAAAGAAGTAAAAAGGAGATATTGAAGTGTTGTAATGGGAAACCATGTTCTTTTCAGTCGACTGTAACAACAAGATATAGAAGTTTTTATCTAAAATTTATTTGGTGATTATAAAGTGGATCCCAAAATTTCAGATTGAGAAAATCCCCTTGAGTAGGATTTGTGTTTTGGGGGTGTAGATTGTAATTGATGACTTGATTCAGCCCAACTATTTCATAAGGCATGGTAAGAGCAAGGTCAATCGAGTCATTGATTAGCTAAAAGAAGACCAAGTTGTGGGGTGTATTTTGTGAGGATATTTTCAAGTTGGAAAAATTTACAAAGAGACTTTCAACTTTTAATACAAGGATGTCACAATCACTTTTGTCCATCAGATTTTGAATAAGATGGTTGTAAGTATATCATTAACTACCGTCGAAGTTCAAAATTTTTTTTTTCAAATTTTATGACACACTTCAAACCATCAAATTTGACATCTAATGGTTAGTACTAATTGTGATCTCCTTTTATTAAAAATAAACAATTTTATAAAATACAATCTCTTTTAAGCTCTTGAGAAAGTTTGTTGGCGGAATGAGTTTTACCATCAGCTCGGGAAATTGCTTTCATACGCAAATAGGGGAAGTTCCACTTTCTCACAAAAAGTGACATTTTATCAATTGCTATAATAACTATGGAATTACATTATAATGTCATTCGCTTTTTGTACGAGGAAGTCACAATCATTCTTAGCCATCTTGTGTAGTCTCGTAAGCTTAAAGTATGTCATGCAGTTTGAGAAATTTTGTTTTGGACCTTGTACCTCGTTAATGAGTCATCTTTAGTTACTTGATTTCACATTTGTATCACAAGTAAATGATCTTATTATATACATTTTTAATAACTATTGTTTTCTCAAAAAAACAAACAAAAAGTGTAAAGCAAGAGGAAATAATTTTTAGAACATTTTTCCTGCTGAGCAAATACTTCGAAATCAAATATTGATGGAAGAGGATTAGGAGCCAGAAAGCAATCCAAGTAATAAACCAATGCAAGGAAGGGATATCCTTGGTGTTTTCTTTATGTTTGAGCTTGCTTCTTGCGTTGAAGCTTGAATCATACATGAGGTGTGATCATGTACAAACATTTATCAAATGCACTTGTTTTGATTTTCCAAGTTTGATGTCCAGCTTCATGCTAAAAATGATGAAGGGGTCATTATAGATAACGTCTATGGTTATTCATTTGTTATGGGGCTCAAAAGTATTAGCTTATCATAAATGCTTATATCCCACCTCATAAAATGTTGTGGCTTTTTTTGCTTGTAGTTCATGGTATATTCATTTCACAGATAAAAAATTGATTTACAAGGATATGTGAGGCTATAATTTGCACAGCATGTGGACGCTTGAAGGGCGCAAGCGCTTTCAGATTAAACCAGTTTTCATCAAGGGCTACAAAATGATTTCGTTCTTTATTTTATAATTATTTTTATTTAAAATTTGAGGTGTAAATTAATTTTTATAAGGGGAACGAAATAAATAATAAAAAAAATATTATCAACAAAAAAAAATTACTAAAACATGTTTAGAGGTATTTTGGTCATATTTTTATTCAAAATATATTATTTTTGTTTAGTACCTCTTATAGAAATTAATTTACACTTTAAATTTAGATAAACATAATATATAAAAAAATAAAAATAAAAAATATTATTAAAATTTGAGCATTGGATATTGGCCTTATTTAATTTGAATCGGTGGAAGGGTGTATAATGGGTGCTTGTGCACCCCTGCACCCACCCGCATGATGTGGACGGGAGACTTTCTTTTCGAGTAGAGTCTACACGCAAGGCTCTAGGGTCTATATACAAGGCCCTAAAGACATGAAAAAATAAATTGACACAATGAAATGAGCGTAGATTATTTTTCTAAATAGATCAAATAGGACTGACTCTAGAGTCATTGTAAAATGGTTCAGAAACCCTGTTCGATCCATGAATCCTAGTCCTTAAGAGCTATTTTTGCTTTCTTGTTGAGCTCTGGTTAATTGAATAGGTGGTACTTTCTGGGGGTTCATTTTTGGCCTTCTTAGAAGTAATATTGATCTCTTTGATAATGAATTAAACATGGTTTGGTCATTATTTATGAACAATAATGTTCATCAAGCTTTCAATAGCTCTATATATTTCTTCATACAATAAAGCTTTACCAGGGTACCCCCTTGCAATATCTTTACTTGTATCAATTTGAGCTCATTTGACCTCCGCAACTTCACTTTTTTATAACCTCTCTCCCTTTCTTGGAAAGAGAGAGGATTCACAATAGATCATTGATGTTGAGTAGGGCAAGTCATCAAGGCATTAAAATGAGGGCAGTGTGGTATGGGTGCAATGGGGGCCACAAGGAAACAATCAATTGTAAGTAATGGTGAGAGGCAAATGATCATGCAATATAAATGTGAGCTGAATATTTCTTTTCTTTTACGAATTTTTCAAATAATTGTGATCTAAATGGACGTATAGATAACAATCGGAAAATTGTTTCATACAGCAGGGACCGGATTTCTACATTTGAGGTGCTCGAGGTATAAAGCATCCACCTTAAAAATGGATGCAAATAGGTGGTTCATATAAAAACAATTAAACTAATAGTTCAAATGTTTTCTTAGTAGAATTATCAGTTTTAATTTTTAAAATTTATTTACTTTTTCATATTTATGATCTCCATGTTAGAGATTACATATCCTTAAAAATTAAATCCAAAAATCCATCTCAAAAATAGAGTTTAAGAGGTGAATCATAGAAACTGTGTCCATAACAATATTAGTGACTATAAAAGCTACTTTTCACCCTGGTCCTAAAGAGAAGTTTTCATTTAGGGGTGATATCGGGGTTGACCCATGACCCATGTCTAGATCCACTTGACTTGGGCAGACTTGGTTTAGGTCTGGCTCACACGTAATGAGGTCAGGTCTAGTAGGGTTTGCTCAAAACGTCCGCACATTGAGGCAGTCAAATAAACCGATTTAACAATAGGAGTGTTGTTTTAAAAAAATTGTTTTACTCATATGCCTATTTAAGAAATGTGAAAAAATATTTGACCAAAGTACCCTTATTTGGCCTTGGGAAACCCAAAAAGCTCAGCATTACGGTAAGTTAGCCCCATTGAAATGAACCGAGTAAAATGATGAAAATAACCCTCGCCGCCCCATTGAAATGAACCGAGTAAAATGATGAAAATAACCTTGGTTGGTCAAAATTAACGATAAATAACTATCAAATAACAAAAATACTCCTACTTGTTTGGGGCTAACAACGCAAAACTCTATTTTAATTGTAAGCTCTCTTTCAATGTTGCTATCTTTTGTTTCATGTTGCTAAGCCCTACTTAAGTGGGCCCAAACTACCCCCTGCTTGTTCATGATTCTTAATACTACACGGGGGTGATTTAGTCAAATTTTATTTTATTTAATAAGGTATTTGAGTAAGATGAAATTTAAAATGCCATGTTCCTTATATTAAATATAATGATTTGACTAACTATGGTTTTGTAAAGTGATTTGGCTGTTTGATTCATGTTTTTCCCTTTTTTTTTCTACAACCCTTGTACAAAAGGAAAGGTGTGAAGGGAGTGGAATATCATCTCAATAGCACATTAGGGATTGAGGGGAATCCTTTAGGATGTTTCCTTTTCTCCTTATTGTTAGTTTCGATTTTTTTTCTCTATTTCTTTATTGCAATTGCACAACCTCCTTGTTGCCCAAGTTCTTACAATAATGAAATTTAGTTATTATTTGAAAAAAATGGACGACAAAATTAAAGTGCTATTAATTATGAACATTGTTACTGTTAAGAAGTCTCGGTCAAAAACAAAAAAAAAAAGAAAAAAAAAGGAAAAAGAGCATTGTTATTGTCATTTGGAAAAAGAATGTATATGATAATCCAATTGACCACAGAAAATCCATGAGCACACTTATCGTAACCATAAAATGAATGATCCATCCCATCAAATGCTTAATGGTGATAAAGAGCCATACTTTTTAGAAATGGCATCATTTTCTACCATAAAGGTGGACATGCTTTTGCCACTTCTTTTGAGCCCACTCCTTGCAAAACCATAGAGTTATAGGTAAAGATGACCCACTTTCTTACTATTATAAACAACCAGAAAAGGAAATAATTTAAACAAAATACTTGCCATTTTTATCACAAAACTGATAAAGATTGGGTAATTTTAGCTTTTTTTCAACCGCTACAATAACTACTGTTTTCCTAGAAATTAAACATGACAAAGTAGTGATCTAGAGAAAGAACTTTCAGAATAAACCAAACGTTGCTAAAAAATAAACATGAAGAAAAAAAGAGACTTGTGAAGAGAAACCAGTAGCCAAATTAATGTACTTCACAAACATTTCAAAATTACTAGAATGGGAAATTAAGGAGTAGCATTAATATATATATATATATATATATATATATATAATGAAAAAAAGTTATGTGCTTTCACAGGAGCACATCGTCCACTCACTCCCAGGTAAAATCTTAATCTTGTATAGGAGTATCTTTAAGATTTCAAATTTTATGGATGTGACTTTCTTAATTTAAATATCAATCTAAAAAGAAATATTTTCATTTCATATGTGGCCACATAAATTAACAACCTCAGATTGAACATTGACCATCGAACTTTTGAATAATTTCTAAAGGGTTTGTTTAGAGTTAACAACTCCTCAAAACACACATATTAATATTATAATGAGTTGTGATGGGTGTATTTATTGAAAAAATCATTATTTTTAAAAATATATTTTAATAAGTAAATTAATCATTAAATAAAGGCAAATTAAAAATTATTACAAAAGTACAATCGTATTTTTAAAATTAGTGTCTTGGAATTTTTTTTCGAGAGTACTATTGTTCGATAGTAAGAATTTTAACTTTACTTCTTATAAGAAAGATGAAAATACCATTTTATTTTTTAATGATATTTCACAAATACCCTTACTTGATGAGTAAGATATCATAAAAATTAATTTTAAAAAAATACACTTCATATTTAGTATATCCACCTATCACAACTCACTTAGGTAATTTGAAGGGTTGTGAATTGTAGATTATCCCATTTCTAAATGGTTGGATCTAAGCCTTAGAAACTCAAGAGCTCAAAACCTAGATTTTTCATTTTTGCAACAACTAATTTGGTAGTTAAAGTGGACTGGAAAAATTTCATGTGAAAGTAGTATCATTAAAAGGCTCTTTTGCCTGAAAGAATAATGCAGTGTGTGATCCCAATATAGTATGCTTTACACGTTAGTGGAGCCATAATTAAAGAAAAAAAGAAAAAAAAGAAGAAACCTATGATAAGCACATTACTTTTATATAAAGGAAAAAGTTTATATAAGGTTGAGTCCTTGAACAATCAAATTAAGGTACACCTCAAAATTTAATTGGAGGAGGTTATTTCGACGTTGAAAGACCTTCAAATTGATTATCTCGGCCTTAAGATGTATAGAAGTAGAAACAAATTTATTTTTAGTTTAGGAAATAATGCATCTTGTAATGCATTATCTGGGCTGTTAATTTTCAATATTTTCAAGTGTTTATGGATCTACTTAATCTACGCTATTTTTGAAGCTTTAAATTTTATTATTAGAGATGAAAATACACTTTCAGACAACCACAAAGATTTTTGCTATTGAAAAGCCATTTTTCGACACTATTTAGAGGTGCACCTTACATTGATTGTCTAAGGCCTCAGCTTATACAAGCCATATATAATTGGGGTTATCTCACTCCATCACTTCCTCTTTGGGTCTCAAATATATTGGTGCAAAACAACAAAAGGAGTCAATCTTAAACAATCAAATTAACACAAACCTTTAAATCCTATTGTATGATGGAGCACTTGTGTAGAAGTCTGTATGATAAGCTGAAATCTACGATTAGTTCTATTCATGTTATTTAAAGCTAAAAAAGTGATATAGATCGAGCATGTATACAAACATTTGAAAATCTTATAAATGGTCGTCTAGGTAATATATCATAAGATGCAATCTTTTAAACCCTCAAACTATTTTATCTTTTCTCCTATATTAATACATTTTTTAAGTCGAGATGATCAATTGAAGAATTTTCAACCATCAAAATAACATCTTTACGTCTTATCATGTACGCCTCAATTTTATAGAATGCATATAAAGTTCTATGTCATGTGTAAGGCGAAAGTTTTATAGGTTTGCAACCTTACATTATAGAAGTAAGATGGACTTCAGAAGACCAATAAAAAAGAGTTTTCTAGAGTTGGAAAACAATCAAATTGGTGATCTCAACATCGAGATGTATGGATATAAAAAAACAATTTTAAATCCTAAAAGTAACACATTTTGTAAGATGTTATCTGAACCATCTAATTTCAAGATTTTTAAGGGTTTATATATTTGTTTAATCTTAACTTTTTTGAATTTTTAAATTTTATAATTAGAATTGATCATAGGTTTTCAAGCCATCGCAAGGTTTTTGAAAGTTGAACTACGTCATGAGGAAAAATATTGAGGTGCACCTTGCAAGGATAGTATAAGGTGGCACTTTTTGCAAACCTTACCATTGATATAAACTTTTGAACATACATACTATGCTTCATCTGGAGCATTGTTTACTTCTACTCCCTCTGTCAGTTGACCTAAGGTTTTTTTCAATCTAAAATTTGGTAAACTAGAATCACTAGATGATTCTTCTCAAACAAAAAATAAATAAAAAAAATAAAATTGAAAATTGAGTTTTCTACACTTAGATCTCACCATCCGAAAACTAGATGGTTTCTATTGAATCTTGAGATGTTATTTTTTCAAGTGCTTAGAGGGCGCAATTAAGAATTTATTGGTGCAATTAGGATTTTTTTTAAAAAAGTTAATAGATTGTTAAAGAGGTTATATTACCAAAATTCGAGGTCCCAAAGCTAATCCTAGGTGGGATTTTATCTGAGGGAGTAATTACACAATGTGCTCCCTAGGGATTTTATCTTTTGGCTAAATTTTTGCCCAAAAAATATTTATAGTTTTAATTTAGGTCATAGTTTCTATGAGTCCTAGGACTCATATGTACATATGGTTCCCTCTTTAAAATCTATTTTTGATATGTATTTTTTACCTAACTTTTTGAGGTATATATATAAAAACTTAAAGGTGTGGTTTGTATAAGATTGCAACCTTAAACCATCCAATTAAGATGCACCTCTAATTTTTGTCTTTAATATAATTTTGATATAAAATTTTTTTAGGATGGCTTGAGAATCTATTTTCGTCTTTAGTTATAAGCTTTTAAACTTTAAAAATAGTTCAAATCAAGTAGATTTTAAAACATATTGAAAATCTTAAAAATGAACGGTCCAAATAATGTGTTACAAAATACACTATGTCGCAGACTCGATATATATATATATATATAGTTTTTAATATTCATACATTTCGATGTCGAGATGATCAATTAGAGGGTTTTCCAACATCCAAACAACTTTTATGGTGGAATTTTTAAGTACATTTTTTATTCTACATTTTAAAGTTGCAACCTTATATAAATTTTTTTCAAATTAAAAATTGATATTTGTTGAATAAAATATACGTAAAATTGAATTTTATTTTTTAAGAGGGACCAACAGCTCCTGTACTTACCCAAAACCGATGCACTATGCGACGGAGAATGCCACTGTAGATTTGCGTCCCCCGAACTTTTCCTTGAATTTAATGAGACTAAATCGGCAGAGACGGGCACGAAACGTTTTTGCTATAGATGCATATGTTAAACTCTGGTTGATAGTGTGGTTATCTCAACCCGCACATTTGCTCTCTCTCTCTCTAAAAATTCATCAGATTGCATCTCATGCAAAGCAGATATCTCCAAATCTCTCTCTCTCTCTAAACGCCAAAACCTAGAAAACCAGCCCCTTTTGGTTTCTACCCCTTCCATTGCCCACCACCTCCAAACGCTTCATCCTCCCCAAACAAACCCTAACTAGGACAAACCCCAGCGCTCCCTCAACCTCCATTAGAGAGAAAGCCCCAACTCAGAAAATCCCGAAATGGCAGCCCAAACCGTGGTCTCAAACATGTATGAGACCGCATCCCAACCCGACACCGGTGACGCCTACACCTTCCTTGAATTCAACACACAGGGGGATGATTTCGATTATCCCGACTTCAGAGAGGTGAACCAAGCTTCTTCTTCTTCATCCTCAATTAGGGTTTGGAACCCGGACACTTCTGTTGGCGAACCCACCATGGACCTACCAGGCGAGCCAGGTTCTGGCAAGGCTCGTACCACTGATGCCCTAGTTTCAGGAATGGCGGCTTTGAGCTTTGAGGAAGGGCCGGTGGGCGAGGATGATAATTTTGAATTTGGGAAGACCGGGGGTGACTTTGCCACCGAGCATGCTTGCAGGTACTGTGGAGTGTCGAACCCTGCATGTGTGGTCAGGTGCAACGTTGCGTCATGTAGGAAGTGGTTCTGCAATTCCAGGGGCAACACGTCAGGGTCGCATATTGTTAATCACCTGGTATGATATGTCCTAGGGTTTTGGGAAGGGTCATTTGATTTTGTAATTTTTGCTATCAAACCTAGTTTGTTATCTGTGTATGTGTGTGCATGCTCGCTTTTGTTTTTAGGGTTGTGCTTTGAAGTTGATGCTTTGGGCAGTCGGTGTATTTAAGGTTATGCCTTGAAGTTGATGCATTTAGGGTTATGCTATCAAAGATCACTGCTTTGTGTTGTTTGGCAGTCTTTTTGTTTGATCTGTATCTTTTTCTTGTGCTCTCTTTACATGCTAGTATTGTTCTGTTTTCTGTTGGTTAATAATCTATTTGATCCCCATCCTCTCTCTCTCTGATAAAAATGATAATTTTAGCTTATGCAGCATCATCATCATTTTAGCCTTTTCCCAATTAATTGGGGTCGGCTACATAAATCCTGGTTATCCTATTAAAGGCTATATATCCTCAGTGAGACCATAAGTCCCATATCTTTTCGAACTACTTCCAATATCCTTTTGGGCCTACCCTTCTACTTGAACTACCTCACAGCTCCTAACAGGTGCTGTTCTTGGTCGGCGCCGTCCAGCCCACTTAAGTCTACTCTTTCTCATGTTATCGCCTATTGGTGCCACGTCTAAATTCTCTCGAATAGCTTATGCAACATTTTGTCACATAGATCATGGTTATGCGTTATCCACAATCGGTTATGGTTAACCTTTTTGCTTCATAATTTTAGTGCTGCGCTCTCTGTACCTCTTTGAGAGAATCATGGTTAGGTGTTTTTTCACAGTCTTATTTAGTCTGTTCTCTCTCATTCTCTGTCTAGATATGCTGCTATCACAGGTGATCTGTTCTCTCTCATTCTCTGTCTAGATAGGCTGCTATCACAGGTGATGTTTATCTTTTGTGGGGCTCTGTATGCCTTTTCTAATCATTTGGTCAATGCCACTCTTACCAAAATACCCCACTCTTACCAAAATAGAGTGATTTCTCAACTCCCTAAGTGTTTCTCAAGGCACAGTCTAGAACCCATCCGAAGATTTTTCTAGAAATGCAATCCTTCCCTAGGGATCTTAGACATTAGTTTTGATTTTATGTGACTGAGGCAAAGCTAGACACCATCATTTCCCATTGGTAGTCATCTTGGTTGTGGGGTGCGTTGGTTTCAGACTCTCAAAGGAACTGTAAATGCTGAAAACAAATATCAAGCATTGGAGCTAGCAACAGTTCGGTAGTTTTCATGTGAAGAAGGACAACCTTTTTCGAGAAATAGCATTCCTGGAGAAGTCAATACCCTTTCCAACTAAGAAAGGTCTCACTGGATGGAGGCCAAATTAGAGTTCTTTGAAGTGTCTAAGCAAGAAGAACTGTACTGGGGCTAGCAGTTTAGGATCAAATGGTTCAAGGAGGGGTACGGGAAAACCTCCTTTTTCCAGATGATTTCTAGTTGTGGAAGAAGAACAAATGAGTTGTGGAAGAAGAACAAATGCTATACTCAGTGTTTCAAAAAGCACTAGGCGGCACCTAGGCGATCGCGGGGGGGGGGGGGGTCCAGGCCGCCCAGCGCCTAGGTGGGCGCCCATAATCTAGGCGGTCTAGTAAATTTTTTTATTTTTTTGGGTTTTTTTCTCTCAAAAATAACCTCTAATGGGTTTTAGTTTCATTTGAAACCTAAAACCCACAATTTTACACCCTTAGTATTAAAAAAATGACCCAAAAATGATAACGAGCGGCATTTTCGTCCTTGGGCGGGGCGCAGGCCCTGAGTGGCCCCCCAGGCGGCCGCCTAGGCAGGTTCCCGGGCGCCTGCGCCTAGGTGGGTGGCAGAGGATACCCGCCTAATTTGGCCGCTTAGGCCTGGGCGCACGCCCAGGCGTTGGGCTGTCCGCTTTTGGAAACACTGGCTGCACTTCAAATTTTGGACAGGGGCAAGACCCACTCCAACCTGAACCAAATCAATGGGGCCATAATCAAATTCTTTAAGAGAATTTATTCGCTGCCTGTAATCAACCCAGACCAAAGTCCCTACTCCTGCATTTCAAATCCTTTATCTTCAACCCAGGCTGCCTCCCTGGAAGTACCTTTCTTTGAACAGGAGATCAAGCGAGCAACAATAAATCTGGGCTAGGATAAGGCTCCTAGTAGCGGTGTTCAACCAAATTTGGGACTCCCTGGCCCCAGATATCATGGCCTTCTTTGTGAAGTTTTACCACTGTGGGGTCATTTCTGAGGGAATGTAGCATTGGTGACTAAGATCAACAGAGCAGTTGAAATGAAAGTCTTTTGGTTCATCAGCCTCTTAATTGGCATCTACGTGATACTTGTTGAAGTCCTGGCTATCTGACTTAGAAGGTTGCTACGTGCAGTTATTTCTCCTAACCACGGTGTATTCATAAAGGACTCCTAAATTTTGGACGATTCAGCAACTGTTTGTGATTGAAATGTACCGCAAACATCAAACAAGGAACCCAACTTTGGTACAGAAGCTGGATTTGGTGAAGGCTACGACTACATGGATTTGTGGGCCTCGACGAGGTGCTCCATTTGATGGTTTTGGGCCCAAATGGGGAAAATGGATCTCAGGCTGCATATCCTGGCCATCCTTCTCAGTCCCTCATCAATCCCCAAGGCTATTTCCAAGCCATTTGATATTTTTACCTAGTGGGACCCCTTTCTCCATTACTCTTCACAGTTGTTGCAGAGGTTTTCAGCAGGGGTAGTTCCTACTTGTATGACCAAAATATTTTGCAAGGTTTTCAATCATCAAGAGGAGTCCTTCCAAGTCACACATACAGTATGCCATTTATCATGGTCCTATGGTTATTCATCTGTTGTTCTCTTCGGGCCTGCAAGTAAACATGTCAATGGGATAGGAGTCGATAGCAAGTCAGTCTCACTAGCCAAAAGAATAGCGTGTGGAGTGGCCTCCTTGCCTAGTAAGTATATTTGATTCCCTTGTGTATTGGTAGGCTGAGGAAACACCAACGGGACAGGTTCATCCAAAGATTCAAGAGGTGCTGGGCTTCTTGGAAAGGTCCTCTCTTCTCTTTTAGGCGGAAGAGTTGCCCCAATCAGTTACATTCTCAGGCATCTCTTTCCATCTAGGTTTCCATCCATGCCAATGTCTATGGTAACACGTTTGAATGATTAATGAGGGAATTCCTACATCCATCGACGGTGGGTAACCAAAAATACCACCTTGTCAATTGGGCAACAGTTTGCAAATCTTAGTCCGAAAGGGTCTCAGGCATTAGATCTTTAGAGGACATGAAAAACACATTACTGGGTAAATGTTTGTGATGCTTAGCCCCCCAAGAGAAGCAACTATGGAGGATGGTGATCCAACACAAGTAAGGCTCAATGATTCAGGGTGGCTGCCAAAGGGTTTTACCCGAGTAGCGTGTGTCAGAGGTGTGGAAAGGGTTTTCTTCAGCTTACAACCTTTTCTCATGCAGAAGTTGATTGCTGCCCAAAACAGGAAACAAGGTGCGCTTTTGGAAAGACCTATGGCTGGGCAATGCTAGCCTTCTATTTCCAAGCCTGTTCCTTCTATCCATGGATCAGAACAGTAAGTTCTTGAACTTCTTGGAAAATTGTAGAAGGCAGATATGATCTCTCCTCTCATCTCTTCAAGCATTCTTCATCCCCGAGTCTGGTAAGGACAAGTTGCAGTGGTTTCCTTTTCACGTGGAATCTTCTCAGTGCCATCATTTTACCACAAAATAATGGGTTCACCCAACACAGTTGCTAGTAAGGTGTAGATCCGAGCTGCCCCTCCAAAAGTTTAAATTTCAGTTGGTTGTCCATTCACAAGAATATCTCATGGTCAGCCAACTAACAAAATGAGGCTTAATGACCCCAATAGATGCATGCTATGCAAAGAAAGTGAGAAAACTGCTGACCATATATATGTCTTCATTGCTCAATAGTTTGGCCCATTTGGAGTTGCTTGCTTATTCTGTTTGGATTGGATTGGATTGGGCTACTGCGGAATCCATTCAATGATTTTTGTTGCTTTCTTTCCCCCTCCTACTCCTTGGGAGGACTGTCGCTTTGGAGAGCGCCTCATTATAGAATCTCTGGCTCGATCACATTAGAAGAATTTTTGAAGGGAAAGAGAGAAAACTAGAAGTTGTTGTAAGTATAAAATCTTGTGTGCTTCAATGGGCAAGCTAGTGGAAAAGTTGATACTCCTCCTAGGATCCTCCAAGGTCAGGCTCTATCATGTTCAACTTCAATCATTCTTTTGGAATCCCTGCCCCTGCCAGTATTTGGGGGTTGAGGGGTTGGTATTTAAGGGGTTCAATGGTTCCTTGATTGTCTCCTTCTTGGGGTCATTGGTGTTACCACTTCGTTGAGTACCGAGCTTTGACCCTTCCATAAGGACTCGAGCTATTCAATCTTTTCACCCTTTTTTGGTGGGGGGGGGGGGGGGGTTGGTGGGGTGTGTGTGTGTTCCCTTGGAGGTAGAGGGAGACTCCAGAAACATCATCAACTGGGTAACTGGTCATCACCCTTGGGTACCTGACCAGGTGTTTATGGAAACTTTCTAACTCAGTGAATCCATTATTCCATTGACATCTCCTTTTGGCGTGTGCCATGTGAACCAAATTCCACTGCAGGGTATCTTTAAAAACTGGGAGCATTAGCAAGGCTCTTGTCATTTATTGATCACAGCTTAGCCAAATGCTAAAGGCATCTTTTTTTTTGATCCTCTTGGCAATTTTTCTTCATTTCTCTGTCTAAAGGCCATTTTGTGAGGCATTCTGTTCTAGTTGGCTTGCAGTCCACGTGTGGTTGTTTTTCAATCTATAATATTAACTTTGTTTGAGCTCTCAAAAAGTACTGTCTGACTTATTCTTTGATCATTAAAACCAATATTCGAACTTTCCAGTTTTCCCCGTTTTCATTCCCCTCTGAGAGCTCATTTTAGGTTTTATTGGCCTGTCTATTGAGGGCTTTCATCTGTCAGCATCATAGCTACGTCTTGTTTTATAATCATTTGGGTTTGTTATAGCTCTCTCTCTCTCTCTCTCTCTCTCTCTATATGTGCTGCCTTTAGGTGCCATGCTTCCCAATATTTAGATTTGTTTTTATTTTTTTTTTGAGAGAAAGCTAACATTCCCAATATTTTGATTTGTTAATTAGGATGATATATCATCTTGGCTATTTGATGTTCATTGTTAATTTTATTTGCTCTCTTCCTCTCTGTTTTTCAATGATCTATGACCGCTGCAAACAGTTGTTCTACAATTCTCTCCCAGTCTGCTCTCCCCTTGTAGTCAACACTGTCCATTGAGTTGTTCCCTCACCATCTCTATCTTGATAAATTGCTCTGTCATCTGATGCATGTTCTCTTTATGCTGAACTAAATGAATTCCCTGTAAACTCTGTAAATATGTGAGTCATGTGCATTTAGAAGAGCCGGGCATGCTGATGTGCTAGACACTTGTGTAGACATGTAACACAGTAAATCTGTGTTGATGTGTACGGAATTTTTTTTAATTTTTTGGATTTGTACGCGTGGCGTCTGAACTGTGGAAATGCAAGTCTGCATATTGATGAAAGACATGCATGTTCATTTTATAAGACACACTTGCCTGCATTGTAAGACCCACAAGTTCATTTTGTAAGACATGCAAGGCTGCACAAGTTTTATGATTTTGACATGCATGTCTTTGGTTTGCGTCCACTTGCCTTTTCTAAATTTGATATTATTATCAAAAGTTAAAATTCAGTTTTATATATTCTATGTTTGTGGTGTACGACTTATATGCATGTGTCAGATTGGACTAGGCAAAATATATGGTGGCAGATCACCTAGGCCCACCCACAAAAAGTGGTGTGCCAAAGGTGGGTCCCACGACCATAAAACAATGGTCAATCCTTAGGGTTAAACCCTAGGCCATGCTTCCTTATATTTGGGAAATGAACATTTTGTGGAAAGAAGATTCAGAGAAGATTTAGGAAGGTTGAATGTTACTTGGTTGTTCGAGATAGGCCAAAATAAAGAGGTTCAACCTCTATATAAATATTATAAATGCATTTATGATACTTGTCCAAGAGTATATGGGTATGGTGTGGGAGAATTATGCAAGATTGAGGTTGATGCCTGAAGATGGAACAAATATCATGAACCCAAACCTTCATGATACTTGTTCCATCTTCAGGCATCAACCTCAATCTTGGATAATTCTCCCACACCATACCCATATACTCTTGGACTAAGTAACCTTTCCAGATCTCTCTCTGCCCATTCCAGCCATCTAAAACCAGTTTTAAGTTCAAATCCTTTTACCACCTGGCCTTCTGTTAGATTACTGCTCTTTTTCTGAGAACCCTTCTCTAAGTTATTGGTGACCTTCCTGGGATGGCAAAAACATTGTTCTAGAAGTATCAAAACCTTTTCTTTGAAGTCTGAGTTCCCCTGTTCATGTTTATATCTTTTTCTCATATTTGCCTCCCAAACCCTTATATTTTTCTCATATTTGCCTCCCAAACCCTTTGAAACAAGAGTCATAACCCTGAACCTACATTCTTCACCCTAAACCTCCATCTTCTAGCCTTATTATCCCTTGTGTCAGGGCAAGAGATTTGGCCCTACATCAATATAGTTTGGTGAGTTGGATTCTTTGAATCCAACTCAGACGGATTTTCATAACCATGTTCTTGTAATGTAGCCTGTAAAAGAATTTTTCCTCCTGCGGTGTTTCATAGGAAGATGTGGTTGAGGAGTTATGGTTTCTTCAGTTTCCACTTAGCCTTAGCAATAATCAGGCAAAGCAAAGAGCAAAAAGACCAAAGTAGAGTGAAAAGTTTCCTTGAGACAATGCGTATGTAAACTTTTTTGCCTTCTTCTTTAGCTTTTTGGAGATGGTCTATCTTTCAGGAAAAAAGAAGTTGGCTATTGAGGCTTATTTTTGGGGATGGTGAATTAGACTTAGCAGTTCTCTCTTTTTTTCTTTTGTCATGGTAATCGTCCTTTTGTTTTATTTTATTTTTTGACTGGTAACTGTTTTCTTGGTTTTCTTTGTGTTTTTTTCCCTGGTACTACACCATGTCATTTGAGACCAGGTTGTATTATCGTTCTTTTAGTTTTGTTCATCATAAGGAAAACATACATCATGGAAGTTTATCTTATGGGTCATTTTGGTTTAGGGAAGCAGAAGTTAGAGCAATGATGATGTTCTGCACCATTTAGTTTTGTTCAAGGTTTTGTCTATCATTTCTTAATGCAATACATGTGGGATAACTACACCATTTGGCAATAAAATTTTCTTGTATAGATATTGCGTGCAAATAAATCATGGTTCCCTATACAAGCTGTTCATTCTAAATTTTTTCACAGGTGGTTCCCAATATAGACAAACTTTATGTTTGTTAATATGATGAACCTGCCTTTAAAAATCAATGTCTTCTTATGTAGATTATAGAGTACAAGCCTCATATGCAAAAATCAATATGACTTCTATTGTAGTTTGTAAATTGTTGAAGCATATGTCTGCCAACATTATCTGCTGCAGGAATTGTCAATTTCTTGTATGCATATAATTTCTTTGGGATTTAAGCCACACTTAATGATTATCTGTGCTGTACTTCTTGGATCTTTTATCAGGTTCGGGCAAAACACAAAGAAGTTTGTCTTCACAAAGACAGCCCTTTGGGGGAGACCATCCTCGAATGCTATAATTGTGGCTGTCGTAATGTGTTTCTACTTGGATTTATATCTGCAAAGACAGAGAGTGTTGTGGTGCTTTTGTGCCGGGAGCCTTGTTTAAGTGTCAATGCACTTAAAGATATGAATTGGGACCTGAGTCAGTGGTGCCCCCTCATTGATGATAGATGTTTCCTTCAATGGCTTGTTAAGGTCTGATGTCCTATTTGCTCTTTTCTTGGTCATTTTTAGGGTCATTTGCCTAGGTGACTAAAGATATAGTTATTTGCATGTGACCTCAGATTCCATCAGAGCAAGAGCAATTGAGAGCGCGCCAAATTAGTGCCCAGCAAATCAATAAGGTTGAAGAGCTCTGGAAAACAAACCCTGATGCTTCTCTTGAAGATCTTGAGAAGCCTGGTGTGGACGATGAACCTCAGCCTGTGGTCCTCAAGTATGAAGATGCTTACCAGGTATTGATTACTTGAGCGGACTCATGTATTTCAAAGATTTGTTGGGGTTATGGTATATAAGGTGTCTATAATCTATTAAATTGACCTTTTAGTCTTTATTTACAAGCTTGAAGGTGTCTATAATCTTTTAAGTTGACCTTTTTGCCTTTGTTTACAAGCTTGAATAAATTCTTCCTTTCAGGGTTTCATACTTCATCTTCTGACATGTTTGATGTGGCTTTTTGTAGTATCAAAATGTATTTGCTCCCCTTGTGAAGTTAGAGGCAGATTATGATAAGGTACTAAAATTTTGGTTTTATCTTCCAATACGGCAGTGTTTGGTGGAACTGAAATTAATGCTATGCAACTTGATGCATCGAGAATGTCATACTGCCTTTTGTGGTGTGGCGATGTTATATTGCAGTGGTCGTCTATCTGGACCATCGAACTGATATGTATTCTTGTTGTTTCAGATGATGAAAGAGTCTCAAAGTAAAGATAATGTTACAATACGCTGGGATATTGGTCTAAACAAGAAACGCATTGCGTATTTCGTTTTTCCAAAGGTGGGTAGTTTTCCTCCTCATTGCTTGTTACTTAAGGTTCTTTGGTAGCTTGTTTGTTAGTTATAATTCTATATTCTTTTGGTAGTGTGTTGTGGTAATCTAGTTCAAGATTGCATCGATGATTGAAATGTGATGCCATGTCCAAAGCTTTGAGAGCAGGAGAACATATCATACACATCCTGCATATGGTGCACCATAGACAGTGAGGGCATCCGGTGTCTGTTTTGAGGATGGAAAATGGAGACGAACTATAGTTTTAGGTGAATGTTCACTGGGACTATGGTTCATCTCCAACTCCTGCCTTTCAGAAAAGATGGCGGGTGCCCCATCCATATGTCGTATACCATACAGAGGATGTGTATGACATACTTCCCCTCAAGAACATTGGTATGCCAAGATTGAAGCCATTGTTATTCTTACTACATGTAATTCTTTCTTTTCCATATTGATGTTCATTATTTTCATTTTGCTATTGTAGGAGGATAATGAATTACGCCTCGTCCCTGGTGATGAGTTGAGATTGCGCTATTCTGGGGATGCTGCTCATCCAGCATGGCAGTCTGTTGGTCATGTGGTATTTTCTCTTCTTATATGGAGGAGGCCTTTCAATAATATTTCTTATTCTTTCTATTTTGTTTACATATTAATTCATTTCATCTCAAGTATGTCTGTAATATAAGTGTCGCTGAGAGGTCCATTAACTACTTGTTAAACTTGAGTAATCCGTGTGGGTTCTTTCTTTCTTTTCATGAAACTGAAATTAATGTCATGCGACTTAATGCACTTTTATCTTTTTTTTTTAATTTATTTATAAGTGAGATCGGGGCACGTTGATCAGACAAATCATTAGTGATTAATTTTTTGCCTTCAGATAAAATTGACCGCACAGGAGGAGGTTGCGCTTGAGCTGCGAGCCAGCCAGGTAACAGTTCATGTTCGCTTTTCTGTGTTTTTGTTGCTTTGATGGTTCGATAAACTTTGAAATATGATTTCAATTTCCAATTTTTTCAGGGTGTTCCTGTAGATGTCAATCATGGTTTTAGTGTAGATTTTGTTTGGAAAAGTACCAGCTTTGATCGTATGCAAGGAGCAATGAAGACTTTTGCCGTTGATGAAACCAGTGTCAGCGGGTGGGTTTGTAATTATAAGATATTACTTTTCATGCTTTCGTTCTAAAGGTATAGATAATACTTGTTTGGTGACATTGTCTACTCTTTGATAAGTGAATCTGCTATATGAATTACTTTCACTCAATTTCATAAAAGAAATTGCTATATGAATAATAGCTAACATTCAAAGAGTGTGAAAAATTGGAATGCCTGCAATCTACGTTTTCAGAGTTTAGATAGAGTACTTTTTCTCTCGAGAGGAGTTACTTGATGAGTACTTCATTTTTCAAATTGTTACGTGTTCTACGAGGACAAATGTTCACTGACTAGACAGATTCTTACCTGATTATTACCAAGGGCCATTCAGATGGTATGGATTTTCTAGAGATGACAAATGTTTCTGCCTGGCAACATGTATATGTTGTGTTTGTGATGTCTCTGTACGGAACTTACAGATCATTACCATACCAATGATGCTAATTACTTCTGAATTGCAGCTTTTGAACAATTAATGTTTTGTATGTTGTAAATAAATTGTTGTCTTTTCATTGTGCTTGCTTTGGGATATGTGAGAAACCTAGATGCTTTCTTTGTTATGGATTTCAGATGAATGGTCCTGGTTCATTTTTTCCTTATCGAATTCATATGTTCCATTTCTGTCTGTTGCTTGGTTTTTGTAACGAGGATTTGAAGGTAATTTGTGGTACGTGAGTTTATAAGATTTTACCTTTTTTTGCAGCTACATATACCATCACTTGTTGGGCCATGAAGTTGAGGTTCAGGTGGTTCGTAATTCATTACCTCGTCGCTTTGGTGCGCCTGGTCTACCAGAGCTTAATGCATCTCAAGTATGTTTGATGATGCTAGTTTCGTTAATGGCCAGTCTAGCATATACTTTTTTGCAGTGTAATGCATTTTCTGTTATCTTTTCTGTTATAATATGCATTCTCTTATTGCATCATTGTATTATTGGCATGCTCTGGTTTCCCAACATTGTTTACTATGTGCACATTTCCAAATTTCTGAATTTAAGATATTTTTGTTGGCTCTAATATGCATTGAACTGTTATCATGTTGAACCTAATGGTATTCTGTTGGGGCATTTTGGGATTTTGTTACTTAGTTTTTTATTGATAAAGTTAACTGGATTTTGTTAATTTGAAGTTGATTAGACCTCTACCCACGTTTGTTTTACCTCTATGTGTGAATGTCTTGTTACCTTAGCGGTTGACTTCTGATTTGTTAGTTTTATTTTTCTAACTGATGCTTATCATGCTTTGTCAAAAGGGGGTGTGGTTTCTATAAGGCCGAGGCTCTAAACCATCAAAGTGGGGCGTGCCTTCAAATAGTGTCGAAAGATGTTTCAATATTGGAAATCTTTGTGATGGCCTGGAAATTTATTTTCATATCTAATTTTAAAATTTAAAGTTTAAAAAGTAGTGTAGATCGAGCAGATCAATGAACATTTGAAAATCGTGAAAATAGACGGTCCAAAAATGCATTCAAGATTCACTATTTCCAAGACTTGAAATCCATTTTTTGTCATGTCCGTACATCTTGAGATTGAGATGATCAATTTGAGGAATTTTGGGCATTGAAACAACCTCATCTAATGAATTTTTGAGGTGCGCCTTAATTTGATTGTTAGACCCTCACACCTATATAAACGTTTTCCTCATCAAAGTGATTTAAGTATTTTTTTGAAGTTTCCCTTGTATGTTCATATTTGTTATAATTATTGGGTTGCTGGGTTTTGTTGGTAATTTAAAAAATTTATAATCACCAAATGAACAAGCGCATGTTAATAAGGACTAAAGAATTAGAGAAAAATTTCAGCAACGCTCATTCTTCATGCCTTCATATTGTTTTCTCCTAATACTAACTGATCTGGTACATGTACAGGTTTTTGCAGTGAAGAGTGTTCTCCAAAAGCCGGTTAGTTTGATTCAGGGTCCGCCTGGTACAGGAAAGACTGTCACGTCTGCAGCTATAGTGTATCATATGGCAAAGCAAGGACAGGGACAGGTACTGCATGCCTTCATGTCCGACAATACGTAGGCCATGAGTAATTCAATTTGAAATTTGTGGGATATGACTTTCTTTACTAACATTTCTGGCATTTTGGAACATTTCAGGTCTTAGTTTGTGCTCCAAGTAATGTGGCTGTTGATCAGCTTGCAGAAAAGATAAGTGCCACCGGGTTAAAGGTAATGATTATTATTTTTAATATTTTACTTGGGACTATTGGCATCCTTTATGTTATTAATCTCCTATCCTCTCCATACCTTATTTGCATTTCTAACAGAGGTTTCTTTGGGTACTTCTATCTCTAAACGTTGGTTTCTTTTTCTCATTGTTTCTTTCTCAATGTGTGATGCCATGTAAATTGGGTTTTTGGTGCTAGTTCCTATTTTTGACATTCTCAAAGGCGCAGATGATCATTATTGCAAAATTTATGAGTCCATGGACACCCTGTGTTTTTTGTGTTCTTAAAAAATATGTGTGCTATTAATGCTTTTTGTAACAAGCATATTGGGTTTATACCTTTTTGAAGCTCTCATTAACCTTGCTGGCCATTGTTTTACCAGGTTGTCAGGCTCTGTGCTAAGTCAAGGGAAGCAGTGAGTTCCCCTGTCGAGCATTTGACACTGCACTATCAGGTTGGTTGGTTCGATGGAATTTTTCATAGCTGTCTTAAAACTTTCTTCAACTGTTAGGGCTTGTTTTGAAGGTTTTGCACTGATAACTGTAGGTCCGGCACCTTGATACATCAGAAAAAAGTGAACTTCACAAGCTCCAACAGCTGAAAGATGAACAAGGTATATTTTCCTTGTCTTTTTATTGGTGATTCAATGTCTTGTTTTTTGCAGTTTCAAAGAAATTGACCAAAATGATCACCTAGGAAAAAGGGAATTCTGGGGCTGTGTGTGTGTTCGTGTGCATGTGTGCGTGTCCATGTGTGTGTGCGTGGGCGTATGTGTGTGTGTGTTCTTTTGTCCTGAGACTTGGTAATGCAGCGACATGGGTTCTACAATTCTTAACATTGATAGATTGGGTGCTGCATCCTTTGCATGCCTAGAAAATCCACTCTTGTTCCAAGTGTTTATTATTGTATATCAGCAGTCATACTTTCCTTGATTGTCACTGCCCAATTTGTAATTACTGTCTTACTTCTGGTCTTTCCTGTTGATGGTTAAAAGATGGTTACGATTTGCATTAATATTATATTTATCATGCGAATCATTTTTCCTGATTTGGAATGACTAATAAACCCATGCAAGACATGCTACATGAATTATATCTCTCTCTCTCTTACTACTTGTAATGTATGTATTCATTTGTTTATGTGTGTGATGAACATGGACTGTTCACAGGTGAGCTTTCAAGCGGTGATGAGAAGAAGTACAAGGCTCTGAAAAGGGCAACTGAAAGGGAGATTTCTCAGAGTGCTGATGTCATTTGTTGCACTTGTGTTGGTGCTGGTGATCCTCGTCTGGCGAATTTTAGATTCAGACAGGTTGAGACTTGTCCATAACTTTAAGTTAGGAACCTTTGTCTCTTCAGCTAGTTCATTGAATCGACAACTCTTCTTTATTATGCAGGTCCTTATTGATGAGTCCACCCAGGCAACTGAGCCGGAATGTCTCATTCCTTTGGTTCTCGGAGTGAAGCAGGTAGATTCTATGGAACCTAGCATTAATTAATTTCTTAAAAGTAAAATCTGATGAACTTAACCTGAATCAAGAAAGAAGAGAAGAAAGAAATTGAGATGTTCCCATCTGGTGGTTTTCCTGAGCAGTGTAGGATTTTCTTTTGATGACAGGTTGTCCTTGTTGGGGACCACTGCCAACTTGGTCCAGTCATTATGTGTAAGAAAGCGGCTCGAGCTGGTCTTGCCCAATCTCTCTTTGAGCGTCTTGTCCTTCTTGGAGTGAAGCCCTTTAGGTTGCAGGTGAGATTTATGGGGGATATTTCTTAGCATAAGTTCATGTATTTTTAATACTGCATGTTTCATTGATTATATTCCCCCATCTTGTTACCTCATGGATGTGGTCACTTAATATGTTTTCATATGTGCATCCTCTTTCTTCTCATCATTGATAAGATGCCTGTTTGTTCTAATATCAGAGCATCTAAGGTTTGATGGTCATTTTAATATCTAGTTATGGTAAATGTTTCTTGTTATCATCCACCTTCTGAACTGAGACAATATATCAATGTTTTCCATGTGTTTGACTACAGGTTCAATATCGTATGCACCCTTCCCTCTCAGAATTTCCTTCGAACAGCTTTTATGAAGGCACACTGCAGAATGGAGTGACCATCAATGAGAGGCAATCATCTGGGATAGATTTTCCTTGGCCAGTTCCAAACCGTCCCATGTTCTTCTATGTCCAGGTGTGCATTGAACTAAAATGGGTGGAGCTAGTTTTTTTGGATTATTAACAGTAACTTAATGAATAGAATAGAATATGTGAAATGGGTTGTGAGTACTGAGTACTGACTGGTAAAAAAAAGGGTGTGCTTGTTTCGGGCCTATTACATCATTTAAAACCTAATTATAGTATAATTCATTGTTTGTGTTTTTGTCTCATTTGATAAATGCTGTACTTTGTGTAGATGGGACAAGAAGAGATAAGTGCAAGTGGCACATCCTATTTAAATAGAACAGAGGCTGCCAATGTGGAAAAAATAGTTAGCACTTTCTTGAAGTGTGGTGTCACTCCTAATCAGGTACGGTTCTCAATTGGTGTTTCTAGTTTGGTAGAAGTTTCTGTTCTATGTTTTCACTATCAAGTGCTATGGTTTTTGCACTTTAGTTAATGCTCCTCTTTTTGATATGTACTCCTCTATGGTCATACAGATTGGTGTTATCACACCATACGAAGGACAACGTGCTTATATTGTGAATTATATGTCAAGAAATGGGGCTCTTAGACAGCAGCTTTATAAAGAAATTGAGGTCATAGTTTTTATCTTCATTGGCACTAAATTGAGTTGCCGCTTGTTGTGCAAGTATGCCAACGAATGCATTTTGTGCAGGTTGCTAGTGTTGATTCCTTCCAGGGAAGGGAGAAAGATTATATTATTTTGTCTTGTGTGAGGAGTAATGAGCATCAGGTATTTTTGTTTAATTCTTATTATGGTAATTCAAGTGTTAGAAGCTTCTCTGGAAATTTGGATGGAACTTTACAAGTCTGGTGTTGGAACTTTAGTTGGTCTTATATGAGAATTTTATCCAGTTTCCTAAGTTGGTTGCTGTCAAGATTTGGTTTGGATGGTCGCTATTGTCTATGATATTTGAATGTCAAGGGCCTATTGACCTTTGGACGTCTATGAAAGGAAGTATGTGTATAATGAAATAATTTGTTTTTAAGCTATAAGAAACACTCATAAATCATAATAGATGTCCAAATAATCCATTTTGAGCACTATATAGAATTTTATCTTAGGTAATGTATATGTGATATTTGTGTTTATCTATCAGAAAGATATTTGCTGTTTGACGAGTGTTAAAAATAGGAATTGTATATGTGATATTTGTGTTTATGTATCAGAAAGATATATGCTGTTTGACGGGTATTAAAAATAGGGGTATTCCCTACTTAGTAAGTAAACAAGGAACTTAATTTTCATTAGGAATTTAACTGAATCATTGCTTTTGAGTGTGAAATGCCATGAGATTTTTGTAAGTGATTGAAAACAAACTTGGGCTTAGAGCCAATGGAGCCTGAGCCTGATTGAGCCAGTTTGCTTAGCTTGGTCTGTGAAAGTTACACATAGTAACCTTGGGAACCGGTGAAACTTCACTTGTTCTTGAGGTTTTTCAATGGGACATGGCAGTGTGCAGGGTCCTAATGACTCGGGCGAGTAAGAGCCCCAGTCTGGACTTTCTCGACTGAGCCATGTTTTATTCACTGACCTGAAAAGTACTTTTATTGTGTCTTTTAGTTGTTTACCTATTCCCTGCTTAGCAGAATAAGTCATGATGGTTTTCTGTGGACTTCTAGGATTCAAATTGTCTCCTTGTCAATTGGGATGGGTGATCAAATTAGACTTACAATATGTCGGCAACCAAATTTGGCTCTTCTTTTTCTTCTGGTAGTTTATATTTCGTCTAATTGAACTGCCTAGGTTATAAAATTTGGACATGGGTTTTGCATATGGATTATTTGTGTTTGGCTGCGGTATATTTTACTTTCACTGCGGTATATTTTGCTTTCATGTCTTTAGGACATTAGATGGAGTTCAGAGCTCCTCATTGTATTAACAAGTTATTTTTATATGGCTCGAATTTCTTATGGTCATGTGTGCTAACTGATGCAAATGTATGTTTAGGGCATTGGATTTCTGAATGATCCACGTAGGCTAAATGTTGCACTAACTCGTGCTCGCTATGGTATTGTCATTCTTGGGAATCCCAAAGTTTTAAGCAAACAACCGCTTTGGAACAGCTTATTGACACATTACAAGGTAAACTTCACTTCAATTTTTTTTGTGGAAAACTATTGACTTGTTTCTCTTTGGAGTCTGTGATTCTTCATTATCATTTTTGTTCATATTTTGATTTTACGATTCTGTGACAGGAGCATGAATGCTTGGTAGAAGGTCCTCTGAATAACTTGAAACAAAGTATGGTTCAGTTTCAAAAGCCAAAAAAGGTAGTCTACTGAAATAAATTATTGTTTTTGTCTTGTGTTGCCTCTTGCTATTTTTCGAGTGACAGATATGAGGACTACAGGACATGGTTATAGATGCATTACATGATTGCTATGTTGAAAATTGCTATCTGATTTTCTACTGTTTCAAACTCAATGTCTGTTGTTTTTCGTGAAACAGATCTACAGTGACCGCAGACTTTTCTTTACCAGTGGAGCCCCAGTTGTCCCTGGTGACAACTTTGGGTCTGTTGGGACCTCAAGCCCCAATGCTGATAAAAGAGGCGGCCGTGCTAAGGGTATGCCTCTGTTAATATTCTTTATCTGTTTGAATCAATGAATCAAGTGGAACTTTGGGCTCTATGTATTATCTGTTTGTCCCTTTTTTGTAACTCCCTCAAATACTGCTTTTACTTTCGTAAATTGTATTATGCATTTGCGGAAATTATTTAGTGGTTCTCTTTAAGTTTGAGACATGTTCTGTTCATTAAATTGGATCAAATTGGATTTTCTTCACGACAGTTTCAAGTTCGGTCCTTAACTATTCCTCGCATTACATATTCTTAGTTTCATTGCTGGCGAACTACAATGTAATGCCAAGGGTTCCAATCCCACAGCATACTGGCCCAAAAACAAAAAGAAAAAATAGAAAAAGAAAAAAAAGTCGGTTTCCAAAAGATGGAAGCTCTCTGATGCCCCTGCTGATCTTGTTTCCTGCATCCTAGTGTCAAGCATTATGTGTTGAATGCTGCCCCAGGATATAGAATTGTCATGTACTGCTAGGGCTTTATTTTTCTGCTTTATATTGTTCTTATTTTCATGGCAGAAGAAATACATGAACTGACTTTAATGGGGTATTCAAAAAAGACTGCTTTATTGGTTTATTCACAGGCATAAGAAAATTTCTTCATGAATAATTATTGGTATATTCACCGATGTTCTCACTCTCTCTCTCTTGCAGTTCATTCTTATATGCCATTTGGGCCACCGAATGGCAACCACAAACCTGTTGTCCACCCTGCAGGCTTTCCTGTGCCTCGAATTCCTCTCCCACCATTCCCTGGTGGACCCCACACTCAGCCATATGCCATTCCGACTCGTGGGGCTGTGCATGGTCCTATTGGTGCTGTTCCTCAGGTTCCTCAGGCTGGGAGCAGAGGCTTTGGTGCAGGTCGTGGCAATGCTGGTGGCCCTATTGGTGGCCACCTTCCTCATCAGCAGGCTTCTCAACAACCATTGGGAACCATCAGTTCGGCTTTCAATTTCCCTACTGGTTTGGACAATCCTAACAGTCAACCATCTGTTGGTGGCCCCCTTTCTCAAACTGGAATTATGAGTCAGGTTTATTATTTTGTTTTGTTGTTTGTTTTTTGTTTTTTGTTTTTTGTTTTTTGTTTTTGTTTTTTTTTTTTTTTTTTTTTTTTGCGGGGTAGGGGGGGCTCATCATTTACTTATTGAAAAATAAAACTGGACTTATTGGAAAAGGAAACGAAAAACTTTTGGGTCTCATTACACTTATTCATGTTTTTCACAGATGCCAGTACAAGGATTGAGCCAGAATTTCCGTGAGGGATTTTCACTTGGTGGGATGTCTCAGGTACTTTCGAAGTGATCCATTTTGTAGTGTTACTTCATGGTAATATACAATATGATCCAATGGACTATGCAGAATTTTTAGTCTGATGTGGTCATTGCACTTCATTTCTTAGGTTCTTTCTGGTTGTGAATGTGATTGATGATATACTTACCCGTGCTTTTCTATGATTAGGATTTTCTTGGTGATGACTTCAAGAGCCAGGGATCACACGTTGCATACAATGTTGCAGATTTCTCCACTCAGGTGAAAGTCCCAATTATTAGTCTCCTATGATGTCTTTTTGCATTTCGTTATTTTAAATATGCTAATGTAATGTGTGATTGATTGAGTCAAGAGAAAGTTGCTTTCCATTCAATAATGAAATTGCATGAAAAATTACAAGTGATGGAAAATTCATTATTATTTTTCCTTCTTGGGGTGTCGCTTGGCTGTGAGAATTATGATTTGATTAAGCTTGCTCTATAGTTTTGCTGTCTGTGAAATCATTTTAAGATCTTGCTTGCAGATGATGTCACCACCCTTTTCTTTCCTCCTTTCGATTTTCAGCTAGTTCTTGAAGTCTGTGAATGGGTTCATTGGACCCTAGATACTTCCATATCTATTCTGAGAAAGTGTGTGAAGATAGTTTTATATTAAACTAGATGATTGCTCTCGCTATGCGATAGTAAATATTTCTGGATTCATTCAGATGGTTGTGGAGAACTCTATAACTTCCTAAAACCTTATAGAAGTCTGCTTTTCTTTCAAGCTCTATTGGGAGATTCCTACAGCATTCTATTTTTATGGGTATGTAGAAGCCAGTCCCTTGAGAATTATATGAGGAACAAATGGGGTTTATCGGCAGACCTCATTATAATTATCTGGTTTCACTAGTGCTTTCACTCCAAAACAATATCCATTGATTCTCCCCATAAACTGCTTGTATGGTGAGGGGCTGAATGCTACAGTCTGCTTCCTTGCATCAAATTTGAATGGGATCTGACAGATGCCCCACTCCTCAAATTTTAATAGATTTGTGTTACGTCCAGGAACCACACAACGATTTTGGTTGGCATTCCAAAAGTGTGTTGTTTAGTTCTCCCAATCGGAGCCATTGATTTCTGTCTGTCGATGTGTCTTAGGTTGGAAGATTATGCAGTACTCATCTTTAAAGTTAAAATGTTTCTTAACACCATTGCCTTATAAATCTAGGTTCCATATCACACTGTTTTGTCGTTTACCTTAACACCATATCCTTTATAACATGTTTGGCATGTTCTTAATTATGAAATTTTCTGAAACTGTTCCAGGTGTGCTGGCCTACAGAGCTTATTTTTCTGTTTTAAGATATTTGTACTTTGAGAATGTTTTTTCCTCCCAAAACAAATGCTGCTCCCTTGGTGGTAATTCCCAAGCCATTTGCAGCAAAATTTGTCCATCCAGCTCTTGGTCCTGTAGTTGGACTCGGGGTTGTTCATAAATTATATGTTGGTTGTACTTAGAAGCTCCATTTCCTTGAATTTTGCCAATTCTTTCCCTTATACTAAATTTTATGATATGAGTTTGGTTGTTATTGCATTCGTTGTAGTCCTTATTACATGTGATGATGTTTGATATGGTGCCTCACTCCATGGTTAACTTTTCAATTTATTTGGCGCATTAGCTTGGGTGGCAACCGTGTCGACATGCCTTGGAGCTACGCTGAGTCTACCGAGTCATGGTGACCAAGCTGTCTTTTGAGATTCAGCTGTATCTCACCAAATCTACAGTGATCAGGACCTTGACATGTTCTGATCTTTGAGAACTCTAATATATAGTGTTTGATTAGTTCCCCTAAGGATTTCAGTGTCATCCCACCTTCACTGGAGCGTTGCACACGCGTGTAGCATTTATCAACGTTGATACATCCAAATAATTTCTCTAATCTAATAAGATGTTACATTCTCCTTCCAATATGTATAAGTGCATTTCATGGTGTGGATTGTTATGTACAAATACTGCAAATATATTCTTTATTAAAATGTGACAAATATAAATCTAAGTACAACACCATGAATTTGTTTAATAAGAATCAGGCAGACTTATTCATTTAGATGTGGGATGTAGTATGGGCATTAGTAAGGAGAGGGCATCACTATTCACTACTGGTCAAAAAAAAAGATTGGGCTTATTATCAATTCTTTTATTTTTGATTGGCAGTAATTTCATGAAGAGAAAAAGATATATAAAGAAGTTATCTTGGAGAAAAAAGCTAATTAAAGGTTACATATGATAGCCTTGCAAGTTGATCCCAATCCTGTTTGCTTCCAACTTGCGAAATTACCTATAAACACATTTTACTACCTACGAGCATGGTAGTTGTCTACTTCAAAGATTTGCAATAGTTCTTTTTTTTTACTCGGGCAAAAGTTTTCGCATGCTGAGGGATAGTTGCTTGTTCCTTTGTCTTTTGGTAAAGTTATGAGGCTCTATATCTACAATTGCTTTTTTGGGGCTCCTGTTATTATTCCCTTTGTCATTGTATGTGCACTACTTAGAAGGGACATCATCACATACACAACCTGTATATCTGATATGACACGTATTTTGATATCTACCATCCATTTTGAATGTTGGACCTTGGAGATCAACCCTGCAGGGTTGAATGTCATCAGAAAGCATGGTTTTTTTTTTTCGAAACTGTTGAACTGTTCTATTTATAAAGAAGGGGAGTACATGGAGGAAGTAGATAACACCCACCAGACGGGGGTGTTCTAGAAAGTATGGTTAATGTCTACAGAATGGTTTATGTTTACCATCCATCACTGAGAAGGGATGGATGATGCCCTGGCGGTATACTATATACCATAAGCAAGCTTTATGGCACACTTCCTCTTAAAAGGATAGTCTCACTGTAAAAGCCCCAATCCAATTTTTGAGTTTAGCGACATCGGTATTGATTCTTCTGTTGTGGTTTGTGGTGCTATTCTATGTACAGGCTTCTCAAAGTGGCTATGGAATGGAGTACGTCACCCAAGGAACACAAGCTGGTTTCCCGGGGAGTTTTATGAATCAGAACTCTCAAGCTGGATACTCCCATTTGGGAACTGGAAGTGATTTCATATCTCAGGTTTGTTAGAATCTCTCACTTTTTGCGGTGTTAGAAATGCGCTCTCACTCTCTCTCTTCACACGTTTTCCAACTGTAACTCATTTATTGGTTTTTTGTACTCTCTCTCTCAAAAGTGCATGCTCCCACCTTATAATCTCTCTCATATCCTCTCGCTTCCTCTGGTTTTTTTGGGATTTTTGTTATTTTGTTGGTTGAATATATGTTACAACTTATTTGCAGGACTACATGCCTCATGGGACTCAAGGCCTCTTCACTCAAGTGGGCTTCAATGACCCATCACAAGACGATTCTTCACAGACGCATTTTGGCATGGCTGGTCCAGGTCCCCTCCAGTCACAGGTCTTTTCTCCATGTCTTACCAAAACTATTGTTATTTGTTTTGCCGGTCACATGTCACCTTGTAATGGTATCTTTTACTTGTGGCGGATTATTAATCTCTCTGTCTCTAATTTATATATACATTTTTCTAATCATAGGATTCTACATTCAGGACATGAATGAGATTTTCTTTTTTTTGCAGGGGGTGATGAATCCTCTATATTCTCAGCCTTTCACACAGTACAACACCCAGCCATTAAACATGCAGGCCCCTCAGCAACAGAACCAGAGCACTCAAAACCAGAAGCTCCACTATAATGGTTGATGTGTCAAGCCGAGGGCATTAACACGAGAAAGGGTTATACTCCATTTCTGCATCTGAACTGTGCTGGCATTGTTTCTCTATCACAATAGCTCACATTCATGTGCGGGGGTATGGAATGATAATTGTTTTGCAGCCTTAAGGGCAATTGGTGGGCAGGGCAGGCCCTGGTCTCAAGAACGCAAGCATGGACGGAACAGCTAAGATCCTGGTTAAAGGATGATGACCCCCATTTTTACCTCTGCTTCTTTCGAGTTCTCATATTCGTTTCGAGATGATTAATAGACATCCGAGACAAGAAGAGCATGTAAAAGATGTGGAAGTTGGTGCAGTGAGGAGGAAGCCTACCCAACAATTATAGCATACCCCAAGTAGGACTACCGTGGTGTACAGTTTCCTCTGTCTCATGTGAGGACACTTTGGGATGTAAAGATGTAAGTGGGTCTCTGTCTTTTCTGCTGGTCCCCTTACTTTAAAAAGTCTATTTTTGTGAAAGATGGCTGTTTGCTGCTCTTGTGAGTTGTGACCACTAACTTATATACGCAAAGTATCAACTTGTTTGGAATGGAGGTGTGTTTGAAATTGCCACTAAGAGTTGACATTTTTTTTATTTTTATTTTTTGTGAATTTTATAAAAACTCTGGCAGCTTCGAATGATAATTGTCTGGAATTATCATTCTACGTGTCTTACTTTTCTTAGTGAGTTGGTCACTAAGAAAAAAGTATTGAAGCAGACTTCTTGATTAGAAAGTATCTTCTACCCTATATATTTTTCCATGCCGTCTCTTTTCAAACTTCTATTGAGCTAATAATGTAGCATTCCTTTACAACATCTTGGGTACTCTTAGCTTAAATTGTTGTGATACGTTGCGGAAATGTGTCATGGGAAAGTCTTTGATTTTTCTAGCTATTGGGTCTCTTACAATTTGCGTGCACTTCCCCAACAATCTGATGTGAATCCACTCAGGCTGTCGGTTGAGGACTGTCATTCTCGGCTTGAAGCTTGCCTCAATTTTCTTACACGAGTTTAAGAAGATGAACACACACTACACTATTCCTTGTTGACATCAATGGGTGGGGATGTACTAATGCACTGTAGGGAACCCATTTGCTAGCATTGCCTTTGAATAATAGGCAATCTACAAGCAATCTAATAATTTAAGGGAAATCTATCAAAAAATGCCTTAGATATTGGTTTATCAAACATTTTTTTTCCTGTATTTTGATTAAGTTCAAAATGCACATCAAATTACACATGATTTTGACTTGGAATAGAAGTAAAAGTGAAAAATGCTAAATAATTGAAAGGTGAAATGTAAAAATCCTATGCCAGAGTACCTTTGGGAACCCCAATTTGGGGGGACCAAGTTCCTCGCACCAAAAGGCAAAGAGGGAAAAAAACGAACATTATATGCATCCTATTTGTATGTGCTATAAAAAAGATAATGCCCTAATATTGAACTTACCTAGTTTTCAGATGGTCTGATCTAGGTGTTTAGAAACTAGAAATTCAATTTTTTCTTCTTTGAAAATACTCATCTAGAGATTTTATACTGGGTACCAAATTTTGAGAACGAAAAATATACTCTCAAGCACGTCTTTTCCGTGAGCAAGTGCATGGTGCTAAATTTAGAGCACTTTACGAGTGTTCCAATTTGTGCACTCGTTTTAGTCTGCTAAAAAAGGTTGATCAGGAGCTCAATAAACCTCTTACTTTTGGCACAATAAGGTTGCAATCAACCCCATCCATTAGATCTCTGATGGCTAAAGATAGATCGCAAAACTTCAAAAAACAAAAATAAAAAAAATTATCGAACAAGCAAGGTCAATAGCACACTTCTGGTCATTTGATTTTTTGATAGGTAAGGGCGATTTTGATTTTGTCTAAAAAATGCATGATTTCTTACAAAAAAAAGCACAAGACTTCTAAAAGTACCAATTTCTATGCATGCAAACGAATATCTTGATTTTTAACTTCCCCTGTTGGAACCTATAACTAAGGAAGCTTTAAGGAACATGTTTTGATAGGGCTGCATCCCTATCAAAATAAGTAAAATTCCAAGGTTCTTGTAAATAAAATAAAATAATAATACAACAAAATTTCTTTTTCTTATCAAAAAAAAAAAATTTATTGTAAAAAATATAAAGTTCTTTTGAAAAAAAAGAAGAAAGAAGTTATACAAGTATTTCTTATTCGTTTTTAAACGAGTCAATGAATTGTTACGCAAATTCAATCAATGGCATAAGTGTAACCAAGATTTTTAAGTCGCATGTTACGAATTATATGCTTTATTGTAGTCCATATATAATGATACACTTAATCCATGATAATTTTATGCTTATCTTTTTATGCAATGTAAATTAAATGGTAAACAATAGTTCATACAAGGAGATAACATATCAATATTCGCATATTAATGCAAAAAAATGAAAATTATTAATAGAATATCTCTATTTCTTATTGGATTCATAGAAAACAACATTTATAATGAATTTTAATAATTTTTTCAGATATTTTTTAAGGCTTAATCCGACCGATTCCCGATCTGGATGAATTTTTGAGATGCCCGATCTGAGTCACCGATCCATTTTTTAAACCTCTAGTTAGGAATAATTGTGACCTCGTTATAACAAAGATAAATGGTCTTATTGTATACAATCCCTTGTTGCATATATGGTGAACTATCTTAACATAGCATATATCAAAGGTGCTCTTGATGCCTCAAATATGCTCTAAGCCTCATGCTTGGTGGAGCTATAATTTAAGACTCAGCAACCTAAGACCAGAGAGAGAGAGAGAGAGCTACATGATCTCAACCACAGCTCTCCCTACTATCTTGCCATTGTTGAGATCGTCATAAGCTGCTGCGGCCTCATCGAATTTGCATTTCCTTGAGATGGCATCTTCAAGACTGAATATCCCAGTCTCTGCAAGCTTCACCAACTTAGGGAGGTCTTGTCTCGCCCTAGCACCATAAGACCCGATGATTTTTATCTGTACTCCTCAACAATACACATCTCAAGATAGGTCCAACTCATAATAAGAACAAAAACAACAACAATAATAATAACAGTAATAAAAGTTCGGGAAATTTATCAACATACCCACAAGAGATGAACTATTTAGGAACTATTCCAACTCAAGACACTGTTATTTTATATGTATTTTGAAATTAAATCAAAAGATATGGCTAAAGAGTTAAATTGTTAATCTCTCATGCGCAATTTGATAAATTTCTCTAAAAGTTCTTATTTAATAGAAGTTCCATGTGATTTCATGAACTAATCAATTCTTCACTAAGTTTCATTATAGGAAGAACAATAGATGGTTGTTAACATAACTAATTGAAGTTTGGATTAGCATGTCAAAAATTGCATACACTTGAACCGAAGCAAAATTTCAGAGACAAAAGGAACAATCAATTCACAGTCAAGAGTATGTTAACACAAGCTAATACATAATGACATAAGTACGACATGATCCAATGAGATTGGTAAACAATGCCATAAACAGGTATCCACCATCTGGGTGTTCCTGATGATAGAATTAGATAACTGCAGTAGCACCCACGAGGACTCTCATCCAGGTACAGTTGATCTCTACCGTCAGTCATTGTTAATGGCTGGTGTATGCCCATTTGAACTACCAAACCAATGGATTACAGTGTACTTCCCAAACATAATACCCTTCCGAAATAATCGTGGCTACAGCCTAGCGGCTTACCTGGCGGCGAACTAGACGAGTTATATCCACTTCTCCAACAGCTCCCGATGGTGCAAGTCCTATCATCACGGCTTTACCTCCATCCTTTACACTTTGAGTTGTTTGCAAGAATGTCTTTGGTTTTCCCAATGCTTCCACAGCGATATCCACCCCCATTCCTCCAGTTATTTCCTGCCAAAAGAAAGCATTTCACAATGAAAGCAAATACAAACTCAGTGAGACAAATTAACATGTCCTCACCAAGGACCAGAACTAAGACAAATTTATATGATTCTGTTTAATTTATAAGAATCTCTCTCTCTGTGTGCAAGCGTGTGTGTGTGTTATATAATCAAAAGATCTATAATAGCAGAATAGCCAATCAGGAACCAATTGTTAGACATTATGGGGTTTCTCCATGGTATCATCATAATTATCAAAATCAGGATAGGTTTCAATTTTTATTCCATAAATTACCTCTACTAAATGACCAGACCTACCCTTTAAGCGATCATTTCAAGCGCAATTTTGCTATTCTTTTCTTTCCAAGATTGCCAAGTGTCTCACTCCTTATCCACCTGCTACTACCAAATAAGCTCTCTCTCGACAGGCACCTGCTATTAACAAGGAATCTCTCTCTCTACATAAGTATGGGGTGAGGCTCAGTCTCAGAGAGGTATGGTCAGTACTCTCTCCCTCTCTCTCTTTAGCAAAATTTCTAATTTTCTACAGGTCGTTTGGCTCTAAGAAGTGTACCCTAGCCCTAGCAAAAATGATATAATGCAAGAACTTCAGTAACCATCTTTGCCACATAATTTGTTAAACCTTTTCTCTCTCTTATGTACGATGGGTAACAAGTGTTCAATCTATTTCAGACGACTGCTACAACCATTTAGTTGAGCTATTCGACCATTGCTTATGCAAACCACTATGCCTTTCTTTGGGTGCTTGGCGTGGTTCCTTGGAGCCCATTCCCTTTCATTTTCATGTTACTGTGTGTGACTTGAGGAAAACAAGAAAAGGTGGTAGTTGGCAATATGTAGTTCACAGTGAAGAGTCTAGTTAGCTAACCAGTGCATTATGTATAAAAGAGAGGAAACAGCCAACCATCTTTTCCTACACTGTGAAATGGCTGGCAAACGTTGTAAAACTCTTCAACACAGTATGGGTCTCCCCTTAATCCATCCAACAGCCACTTTGATTGTACTTTCAAATCGCCCTACTGACTTTGCGGTCCCCCTTTATGGAAATAGGAAAGCCTCTATGATGGCACTGGTTTGGACCATATGCATGAGGCAAAATAAGATAGTTTTTTAGGGGAAAGAATCACGACTAGAAGTGCTTATTAACAGATTAATGTCCACAGTAATTGGATGGGATTACAGAGGGAATTCACTTCTCTCTCCACCTTAAACTTATACAGCTGGCATTCCATTTCAAGGTCCACACCCATGAGAATTCCAACAAACGTGAATGGATCCTGCCTAAAGCAGGAACCATAGAACTGAATTTTGATGGGTGCTCCAGGGTTCCTGGTCGGACTCGGTTGATTCCCTGAGTCTTGGCCGAGTAGCTCATGACTCTCCGAGTCTGACATTTTCTTTTCACCATTCTTTTGGCAGGAGAAAAAAGAAACAATAAGTTGGCAATTTTCATCCAGCAAGGGATATTAAGTCCTCAAAATACATCACTAGAGTTGTTTTCAGCCCTCTATCAATTCATTTAACAGGATATACGAGAAATCTACCAATTTCACAGATACGAGAGAATTTCTGAAATCCGCATTTCCAGTTGAAAAAGTGTTGGGGAACCTAGGATGTAGTCGATCCGAAGCCTTGCTCGAAAAGTAACTTGGGGGTCCAGTTTTGCTGACTTGAGGGCAGATATCAAACTGATACGTTTTACAATGTTTATGTTTCATAGATTACTGTAAACTCTAGATCGGATTCTATTGCTTCAAATACTATAGATCAAGATGGATCTAAGCTTCAAGTAGCAGAGATCTAGTTTTTCTTTGTTGATCAACAGCAAAATTATCTATTTTTATTCAAATATTTAATTTATTTGTATTATACATAGAAATTACTGGTAGAAATGAAAAAAATGTCATATTTTTTTATTTTAGCATGGCATATGTTTGTAAATATATATTTTTTACAGTAATTTTCTTTCTCCAATTTATTCTTGATTTATCACTAATATTCCTGATTTTCAAGAGTTTTCCCCAATTTTATGACCTCTCCCCCATTTTATTCCGTTTTAACTTTTTCCCCCATTTTTTGGCATAAACCTGCTTTATTTTTTTGACTTTTGCTGTCTTTGTGTGCCAGATGCATTTAAGGGTGCCAATCCCCATCCAAAAATGTTTGGTTTGGGAGCAAACAATGATATTTTGAGAGAATTAGGAACGAGCAATTATTTTGGGCATTGAGTTGCTTTGCCAGTCCCTACCCAAACAAATTTTGGTGCAGACAACTATTTTTTCGAGAAAATTGATATTGAGCAATTAATTAGGGCATTGAAATGATTTTTTATTATTTTTATTGTATGTAGATGCAGGTTCCAAGATTGCTTAGTCACAAGTTACTAGTTGGTTAACCTTTGGAGCATTTCGCACGCAAGATCCCACTCAAGAGCATGGCTTGAGGGTACTTACCAATAAAAAGGATACGTTTGGATGTGTATTATGTGCAAAAGAGTTGAGTGGCAGTACCAACCACCTGAAACATCACCCAGTGAAGGTTATGACAAGGTACTAGCGAACATAGGGCGACAAATGCAAGCAATTATGACAATGGAGAAGAAGAAGAAAGCTGCAAAAATGATGGTTGATGAGGTTGATAGAAAATACTATGCCCCTGTTTCAAAAGCGAAAGATGATGAGGAGCTTGGGGCTCAACTCGAATTTGCGAGGAGGGAAGTCTCAACATCCATACATCTCGAGGTCGAGATAATCAATTAGAGGGTTTTTCACCATCAAAACAAACTTTTTCGATGGATTTTTGAGGCGCGCCTTTTTTCTACATTTTAGGTTACAACCTTATTTAAACTTTTTTCCTTGACTTAAATATATGTTAACTAGGTCTCTTCTTCAAATGGCACAATTCTATGGCCCGGGGCAATCAACTCATGCTGAGATCCTAGAGGGTGTAAAATATTGCATTGAGAGATTAAAGAGAGATGGAAAACTGCAAATTGAAGCTATGAAGGAGGTAAGAAAGCATTTCTGTGAATAAGTTTCCCAACTTAGGTAAACCATATTTGTAAAACATTAAACGTCAGTACAAGTTGAGGAGCAATGAGAAGATGAAGGAGGAGACGATCACGATGATGAGGCCATCGAAGCAAATGATGATGACAGAAGTGGCCCTAAGAGCGAGCGGCACTACCATAGTGAGAGAGTGAGCATGAGGCTTGGGGGGGTGGTGTGTGTGTGTGTGTGTGAGGGGAGGGGCAAGGGAAGAGGATAGTTACCTAACCATCAAAGTCATTCTTGAACCATTCCGAAGAAAGTTGGGATGGCTACGATCCTCCTTGTCAACATATTGCTTGTAGACTGAGTCATAAATAATGGTTGTAGTTTGAGTTACATCAATCTGCATGTATATTTGTGATTTGGTATGGTGCAATGAATGTGAATTGCTATGTATTCCAATTTGGACCATTGAATGCACGCATCGCAAAGTCTGCAAACCAAGAAAGAAGGGGGGATAGGGTTTAGAGGTTTGGAACAGGTAAATAGAGCGCTCATGGGTAAGTGGAGGTGGTGGTTTGTCAATGAAGAAAACCACCTTTGGCAGGCAGTTAGTGTGGCTCAGAGGAATCAGGCTAGTTTCCAAAATCATCCTTGCACAATGCATCAGGGGCTTAGAAAAGCATTTTGAGAACATGGGATTCATTTAGAAGACAGATGCGAAGAGCCTAGGCAACAGTGCAAAAGTTCGGTTTTGGAAGATCTTTAGTAAGGGGATCGAACACTAGCACAGGGGGGCCTGCTTGCTCTTGACCCCCAACAACTTGGTAGCTAGTGTTGTGGAATGCCCTCGGTTGGTTGGGGGGAACATAATTTGGAACCCAACTTCCAGAAGAGCCACATGGCAAATGAAGTTGTACTCTTGTCGCAGGTAAAGTGTGGTCCATCAAGTTATCGCTTGAAGTTTTTAAGCATTTCATTGGATTGCACTATCTGGAAAAACCTTCATAGTAGATCAATTACACTGAAGAGGCTTCCACTTAGCCAACCATTGTGTAATGTGTGTCAACCAAGAAGAATGCTTGACATCATCATGATCGCTAAAACCATTTCCCAACTAATTGGGATAGGCTACACGAAACTTGGTCTGCTATTCTGCCCTTTTAAGGGTCATAAGGTCATAAGTCCCCAAATTTTTTCTCACTACTTCCAACCACATCTTTTTGGGCCTACCCCTTACCCTTTTTAAACCTTCTACTTGAATTAATTCACACCTCCTAATAGGTGTTGTATTGAGTCTGCGCCACACATGGCCAGCCCACCTAGGAAGAATGCTTGACCACTTGTTCTTATATTGTGAAGTAGCCCTCTTTTTACGATGTAGCATAATTCAAGACCTTGATTGGCAATGGGCCTTTCCTAAATCCATAATCCAGCTATTCCAAGCCTTCCTCTCACCACGTTACCTTAAGGAGAGAAATTACTTCTGGAGAAGTTCTGTCATGGCTACTTAGTGATCATTTTGGAGAGAAAGGACAAAATGAATATTTGAAGGTTTGCCCTCCTCTATTCATAATCTTAGGGAACACAGCTCAATATAGATGGTTGCTAGATGGGTAATCCCGACATGCTGGTATAGGGGGCTTAATTTGGGGCTACCAAGGAAATACCCTCTTTTCATTTTTAGAATTTATGCTCTCTAACATGGCAGTGTCCAAAGCCCATATAGATGGTCTCAAATGTGTCTCCTCTAGTGCCCTCCACTCGATGCAGATCTGGTGGGAGGGAATAACAGCAAAGCCAAAGCATAGGGCTCAAAGAGAGCATGAATACCCTGGGCCTAACTCCAATTTTTTGACCATCTATACTATCTATACAGGGACATCAGGACCACTTTCCATCATGTTAGTAAAGATTTGAACCAGGATGCTGACTGCTTAGCTAAGGAGGGAGCTCTGGCGTGTACTACCGTGCCACAGATTACCAATTGGTCTCCCTCCTTTTCTTCGATTATCTTCTGCTTCTCTCCTGCTAATCATTCTCTACCCGTCTCTCCCTCTTGAATTCTTGTCTCCCTCTAAAGTTTTTGCCCCCTTAAAATATGTATGATTTGTAGGTTACCGCCTTGTGATCCCCAACTTCTTGGATATGAGTCCCCTAATTGTCGGTAGTCGTCATGTATTGAGCTCTCTCCCAATATGTGGGTAGCCTAATGTTATTTTTCTTGTAAGCAAATTACTTAACACAGCAGTAAAATCTCACGCAACAAAATATTTATGTATGGCAGTTTAAAACCCTCTATATCCATAAGTTTTATTTTTTCTCTCCATGCGCATATGATTTTTTAAATTTTTCCCTTATCCTCAAATTTAACGTGTTTTGCCTTGTTTTACCACTTGTGACAAAGTCTGGACCCAGTTCCGGGTTTTAAAACAATGCATGAAGCTAAAATACTACACACGTCTGCACTTGACCACCTGGACAAAATACATGATTTTATGCATTGAGCACTTCTAAATTTTTAGCTTTATGTACAACTGCATGGGAATTAGAGCCCTGGGTTGTACAGTATTTTATCTATTTTTCTTCCCCTCATCTTTACTCAATTTTTCTGTCATGAGGGCTACACCAGGCAACTACAAAACCTATCATGGGGTTGGTTTAAGCACTATGCTCTTCACATTAGGAAGCTTAATTCCAAATTCACCAAACTATACGACTAGATTATGCAAAAATATAGATAATAGCTATAACTTCCGTTAAACTTGCAAAGTGAAAAAGAGAAAGTAGAAAAAGGAAAAAACAACGGTCAGAGGTTGGTTGGATATTGATTGAGCTTGGCTTTTAGAGGGTCCAATAATTAAAGTGTTGAAGAGTTTCTTAACATCTCACTCAAGTCTATAAAGGCTCAGAGTTCAATTTTAAGATGTAGGGGTTTATGGTACTTAGCAATTTTATCATGTTTTTAGGATGTTAAAAGTATTCTAGGTTTTTATTAAGCATGGACATATATGCCCGAGGTGAGAGTTAAGTATTTCTCTAACAAGCCACTATAAGGGCAAGCCCCGCACAGTTTTTACAAACTATAGTCTAGCATGAAATGCCATTTCAAACCAGAAAAATTAGTACTCAAGATCATTATCAAAAAAAAAAAAAGTACTCAAGACTCGGGCACAATCAGATAAATTACCTTAATTTTGTCAACAACATCTTCCTTCATAGCATTTATGGTGTGAGTTGCTCCCAGCTTCTTTGCATTTTCAAGCTTGTCATCTTGAACATCCACAGCAATAATCTCACTAGCTCCAAAAGCCCGTGCTATCTGCAAACAACTGAGACAAGTAATCTGATCATAATCATCCAAAACACTACAAATTCAACCAAAATGAAAGATTTAATTACTGTGAATGATGCAAGATTTCAAGCCAATAATACTAAGAATCATAGGGCTATCTACAACAAATACAATTTATCATAAAACTACCTCAGAACAAATATTTATCTTGATCACTTCACAATTGATATACACAGAAAATTACAAAATGTTCCAACATTTTGGTTGAATATAGCAAACCTTTCAAGCCAATAATACTAAGAATCATAGGGCTATCTACAACAAATACAATTTATCATAAAACTACCTCAGAACAAATATTTATCTTGATCACTTCACAATTGATATACACAGAAAATTACAAAATGTTCCAACATTTTGGTTGAATATAGCAAACCTTGACTTTATTGACATTAGTTCATGTGAATGTCCTCATTCAAGCCAGTCTCGATGGTTTAACATGATACCTGTTGAAACCCAAATTGACATTCCTGATAGGTCGATCCAGCCATTTTTACAAGTTTGAAAAGTCTGAGAATAAACTAAATAGAACAAAAAACTGAAATCAACTAATTCATTTTGAACAGGCCTAACCTACTTGTCCACAACAAATTAAAGTTTGCATAAAATTCATGATAAGACCAAAGATGCTTTTTGTGTTTTCCTCATTCCGCATTATTGGTTTTAACTGCACAATTCAGTTAATGAGCATAAAGAACGATAACTCTTAAAGTATACAATATGATCATCAATTATGAGTAAAAGAACAAAATCCCTTCCATGCAAGAGTTTAAGTACTATCAATACAAAAGGCAAAAATACGTCATAAGAATTCAGGTACAAAGACATAAATCTAACACCCACTTGAGAATACGTGGAAATCAGTCAATGTGTTCGTGTATTAAGGCAAGATGAAAGACTGATATTGGAAGCAACATAGATAGCACAGGTATTGGGGCAACAAGAGGCATAGCTGCATAGGTACTACTAACCAAACACCAAAGGGCTCTAAAAACCAACGCAATCAAGTCATGGTTACTGGACGGCAAGCACAGAAATTATATATATAATGTCTCTAAGTTACACAGGACAGAACAGTAAGATAATTGCAGTGGGATATGAAGAAAATCCATGTTTAATCACCAAAAAGATGATTTCTATGTAAAAATGATATCTAGATTAGAATAGAAGAAAATAACAAGAATCTTCTAATGAGAAAAAGAAACTCTTCTTTCTTAGAATAATTTAACAAGGGGGTGGGTTTTGTATAAGCTGCCCAACTTATACTACACAAGTAAGGTGCACCTACAAATTTTGGTGGAAGATGAAGTTCAGGCATCGGAAATCTTATAATGGTATGAAAATCCATGTTGAACACAAATTATGAAGCTTAAAATTCCAAAAACAGTGCAGATCAAACAGACTAAAAACACTTGAAAATCTTGAAAATAGTCTAGATAACTTGTCATAAGATGCACTATTTTTTGGAATTGAAATTCTTTTGTTTTTATATCCACACATCTCGAGGTTGAGATGATCAATTGGAAGGTTTTCCAACTTCAAAACACTCTTTTCTATGGATTTTTGAGGTGCACCTCATTCTATACTACAAGGTTGCAACAGTATATAAATGTTTTCCTTTAAGACTGTCACATTCCTGGGCTGTTAAAAAAACATTACACACCCAATGAGAATATTAATTTAAGGTACCTTTTGGAATATTCTCAATAGAGTTGATTTGTCAAATTGTACCATAAGTCATTACAATGAAACATTACTCAGATGGTAACACACAATTGACACTGCAATAGCTATTCTTTGGTCTTTACCTTGATCCAATTCCGCCAATCCCAATGACAGCAATAGCATCTCCAGCACGGACATCTGCAGCATGCTTCATAGCACCATAGGCAGTAAATACAGCACATCCTAAAATAGCTGATTCAGTATATGGTAATGAATTGGGAAGAGTTGCTAGCGCATTGGCTGGTACCACGCAGTATTCTGCAAGCCCTCCCATGCTGTACATATACACTGGCTTTCCTGCAAATATTAACACATTAAATGCATGTTGCATAGCCAGAAAATGTAAATTCCATGTCAAGCTCTCTGCATTAATGCTCCTAGATATATTCAATGGTATGCATTTAACCATTCCTCTAGGCTACATAGAAAAAATAATATTATTTTGATAAATGATATGGAGAGAGATTATAATGTTATCCAATGAGTTATGGAAAAACAAAGACGATTGGGATAAACCACAAGAATTCCCTTGAATGAGGAAGAAGAATAAGACACTTGCGCATGGTGTTGCACAACAATATGAGCAACATAGCGCATGGTGTTGCACAACAATATGAGCAACATAGCACATGGTGTTGCACAACAATATGAGCAACATAATAACGTAATGCAGCCCACTAGAACTTCCATAATGCTTAACAGAATTCTGAAGACTTAAATAACTCAGTATGTGAGGAGTAAAAGAATATGGAATATATACATCAATACTTAACATAAATATATATGTGTGCATGTGTGCTGCGGTTGTTTGAGAGATGATTCCTCTGACTGGGTCACCCATATGGGCCGATCCGGGATGACGAGAAATCAAGCCCAACCACCTGGCGACTCCACTGGGGATGCGCCACCCTATCGTTGGTTCGATTTGCTCGCAAACCTTCGCAACACTTGATTACACTTAAAAATGGCTTTGGAGTTTACTAACTCTTCCTATTACCGGGTTGGGGACTTCATGATCCCTACACCTGCGAACATGTCCCTTGGGGGTAAGGTTTCTCAACTTGCATCTTCCTCCCTTCTTTTGCGAAGCGACCAAACAGCTCGCACTTGGATTTCGGCCCAAACTAAAACGAGAAGGGGCCCTCAAACCCCTTACTACCCCTATACCGGCACTAACGGTCAGTCCGTTATAGCCAAATGCATTGGTGGTTCTAAAACCACTACATCACATACTCACCCAGCTACTGGTGGACCTTCCACCAGTCTCATGTCTAAGAGTGGCCCTAAAGCCACTCCCGTTTTTCTCGCAATCGGCTCTTCTAAAGTCGTTGCCTTTGTGGGTACCAAGAAGGTCATCCCCAACTCTTCTTTCCACACGCGTGCCGCCCGTCTCAGCATCGCATCTCACACACCCCAAACTGGTGCTTCAATCGCTGGCCTTCTCAGTTGAAGGACCACAAGGTCACTCGACAAACTTTCTCGACAAACTTTAACATCCACCACGACTAGCTACCTAGCCATTGGCTCGTCTTCTCAGGGCAAGCAAAAAGCTACCCTGAGTCTCTCGCACACTTTGGGTCTCCTGGGACTCAGACCCACTGTTAAGAGTGGCTCTCAAACCACTCCAATTGCATTGCATACTATTCACTCAGCTCGGGGCAGCTCAAATGCCATCCCCCAAAGAGCACACGATCAACGACCCAATCGTAGGTCAAATGCGCACATACACTGGCATGCAAAAAGTGGTGGCCATAAGGCCACTCCAATCACTAAGTTCAGCATCCCAAAGGCCAGACCTTTTACCTCACTAAGGGTTGGCCCCCAGGCTGCCCCAAGCACGTCTTCGGACTCTGCACACACAAATAGGTCTGATATTGCCCCTAGTTCTGAGGGCAAACATAAAAAGAGTCCAGAAGACTTGCTCGCCTTCGCTCGACGGCAATTCTACCTACCCATCAAGAAGGGAAATAATGGTGAAGCCCGGATATAGGGTCGAGAGACCAAGATGCTGAAAGCTCGACTTAAACTGCTTCAAAGGGCTGAGAGCCTCATTACGAAGATAAACCTCATGAATAAGGAAGAGGCTCTGCCATCGTTTGTCCCCTCTACTCCTTTACCCGGATTCATCCTGGAATCTCAGAGATCGGATGAACTAGATTCTTCTTTGACCGATGTTGATGATGCGGTTTCCATTACCCTCATCCATCCAATGACCCCTACCTTTGATGAGAGCTCATCACTCTCATTTGAGGAAACCTACCCCTTGATGGTGGATGGGATGAGCCACATTCCCTCTATTAGTTACCTCACTAAAGTGGCTTTGCCATGCCACGAAGATCTCATGATTCCTTATGATGACACTTACATGCTATCTTCGTCGCTCGAAAGCTTTTTATGTTCTCTCGATGATGACGTGGTCTCATTGTCCTATGAGAGTTTCACATTCTCATTCAATGATGAAGATATCCATGCCTTTAAAAATAAAGTGGGTCCGAGGGAAAGCCCAACAAATGTCATCAATGATGTTGTTGAAGTAGCAACAGTTGAACCCGTGATGGACACCCTCCAGTGTTGAGCGACTCAACCCTTCAAGGGAAGAAGAACCTTCAAGCATGACCGTTGTCAATGCCAAGGTGATAAATGAAATGTCAGAATTACATGGCGACGAGATTGCGCAGCTTAAAGCCACATTAAAGCAAGTACAAGCCGAGATGACGACAAAAGATGAAATAATGGAAACCATGCACCAAGAGATGTTGGTGTCCCATGAGGTTGAGCATACTCCCTCGGCACACCAAATCCTCTTTACCGCCTCCCGACCACCATGTCAGCGCATTGAAAAGATGCCATCAAAAGAAGAGTTGTTCCCACTCATACCACCCTCACTCTCAGTCCCTTCTTCATCAACCCAGGTTGTGGATGAGGAACTAGTGAAAGGCATGGTAGCTGAAGCATTGAAGGAGTACAATATCCCAGCGGTTGAAGAGTTGAATCGTTATCGAAAACCTTACCCGGCTCATGTTGACCAAACTCCCTTCCTGCAAAACTACCAAAGGTTCGATTTTCCCAAGTATGATGGCACCAACTCATCACAGTAACACATAGCTCACTTTGTTTTTGCTTGTGGAAATACCGCAAACAATGAGCATCTCTTGCTCCGACAATTTGTGGGGACCCTTACAGGAGCCGTGTTCAAGTGGTACTCTCGATTACCACCAGGGTCAATTTCATCGAGGGGACAAATGGAGAGAGAGTTCCTCAAGCGCTTCTATGACATAGAAAGGAATGTGCAACTTCATAAACTTCTTGATGTAAGGCTAAAGCCACATGAGCTAGTGATCGAGTATATCAGAAGGTGGCGCAACCTGGCTATCAATTTGGCCACTCCAGTGAGCGAGCTTCAAGAAGTGGAATACTGTGTAGAAAGAATACAGAGCAGTGCGAATGGAAGACTTTCTTAAACATCATGGAAAAATATCAGATCCCTTCACAGTGGTGGAAGTTGATGAGCAATTAGCAATGGCCATGCCAGACACTAGGCATTCCTCGTGGCAAAACTGCCACAAGAGTTCTTTTGATGAAGGCACGACCCTAAACTTGCCTCCATTAGGTCTTGGTAGATGACCTTAAATCACACCAAATTGATGGTCACGAAGGCATGACCGTAAACTGCTCTCCCCATGGTCATGACGGCATGACCTTAAAATTGCCCCCTCAAAAAGATGGACATGATGAAAACCTGCAAGGGCGTCATGGGTAAAAGAATCACAAAAAAAAAAAAAGACGGACATGGTGTGCACCCCGAAAGCCACCATGAGCAAATATGTCACAAAAAAACAAAAAACAAAAAGGCCATTGTGAAAACCCGCAAGGGCACTATGGGCAAAAGTGTCAAAATAAAAGGAGTGTGGTGAAAACCCTTCGAGACACTCGTTTTCAAAATAAAGGCGTGTTGATCCTATTCTACAAGGCATCACGAATAAAAGTGTCATGGTCTTGCGTCCCTATGGCATGACGTTAAATCAAGCGACATATAGTCCGTTTGCACAACTATAAACTGCCTCTCGTTCTTACACATCTCCATAGGGTTGCCGCATAACACCTTGCTACATATAGCCCCTACCATGTCCTTCTTCATAACTTCCCCAGTGAAGGAGCACCATCACTCCAAGGTGTTCTCCCTAATTGAGGGGTACAACAATTTCGACAATGTGACTTTGAAGCATGCAATCGCCTCTTTATAATGTCTTATCCCTAGTGGAAGAGTGCCATCACTCCAAAGTGCAATCTCACCAAGTGAAGCATACCACAGTCCTGCCTGTGCGGTCTTAAAGCATGCAAGCGCCTCTCTGTGCGAAGTACCAATATCCCCAAAAGAGGTATACCACAGTCTCAACTGTGTGGTTCAAAACCATGTTTTTCACCTCGTCATAAACTCCCCAAGTAGAGGAGCACCATCACTCCAAGGTGCTCTTCCCAATTGAGGTGTACCACAGTTCCCACTGTGCGACTTCAAAGCATGAAAACTCCTCCCCATAAGGATACAATCGCTTCTCCATAATATCTCTAGTAGAAAATCACCATCATCTCAAACTCAACACCGCAGAGGTGATAGCCCCAATGAGGCATACCACAGTCTTGACTAGGGGACTTTGGACCACGTCGTCGCTTCTTCGCGATGAAACGATAATATTTCCATTAGAGGCGTACCACAATCTCGATTGTGTGACTTTGTCCTATCCATTTCACACATCACCTCATCCATGAGCATTTGCTCCACGCCAACCACTTCATCTCTCACGACTCTTCTGGTCTCCATTTCCCCAATTGAGTCACACCACTCATGGCTCTCTTGAGCCCCAATCATTCATGTTTCGGGGCAAACCACAGGACCATTACCCTAGTCCCGAACTGTGTGGCACCTCAAACTTCCATGTGTGACCCATTTTTCCATCATGTGTGCCCCTACCTCAACAGTCCAACATGGGTGAGGACTATAAAAGCACCCCTATTCGGTCTAAAGTGGGTGAAGACCTTACACTTTCCCTCAACACATCCAACAAGAGTTATGATGTTAAAAGATCCTTGAGTTCGTCCATCAGGGGTTATGACGATTAAAGACCCCCTGCACATGTCCAACAAGGATGAGGACTTTAAAAGCATCCCGACTTTGGTCTAAAAAGGGTGAGGACCTTAAACTTTCCCTCAATGAGGTGATCACCCCTCTGCCACTTTCATGCATACCCACCACCAACCGTGAGAGTAAACCCTCGCTCCCCATCAAAATCCCAACTCTT